GCCTAACATGTTCTCCCAAGCCCTGTATTGCTTCCTTTGATTAAACTAATAGTTCTAGAATTGATAGTCTTTTGAAAACAGATTAGCTCTTAAAAAAACAAGTTTACAAACTGTGTCTTTATACTTATTAAACATAATCTTTCTGTCCTCATGATCCTCTTAGATTAAGCCAGAACACATGGAAAAAATGAAACAATAAGCTGTATCATCATAATCTCTTTATTACAAGCAATCAAATATACTTCATTGTTTATTCCATTCCTGGGAAAGATTTCAAGTTTTACACTTTGGCTTCAGATGTTTGCTCTGATATCAGAATAATGAGCATTTTATACTAAAGAAATAAAAAAGGCTACCATAACTATTTAATATTATAAATAGCCTATGGTGAAGGCCAACAGAGGAGAGAAGAAGTCATTAATATTTTGCAGAACAATTAAGGAAGACGCCCAAGATAAAACAAAGTTTTTAAATTGTGACACTATTCAATCTCTCTCAGAGGGAGAAGAGGTTTACTAGATTAGGCAGAGACATGGGTGTCCTTTTTCAAAAAGAGTATGTTTTGTTCTTTAAGTGATTGCTTTTTAGATAGCATCCAATTTAATTTCTTTGCTGAATCCTTGGGAACAAAATGAGAAGGACTCTTAGAGTTAATTGATATAGAACAATCCTGTCCCCGGCAATCTAAAAATTATAGGGCTATCAGTGCATGTAACGTAGAGGTGTGTGTGGACAAGAATACCAACCTTGCTGTCAAGCAAAAACAACCCTCTAACAGCAAGTGCCACACAAAGTGCACTAACCAAATAGGTGGTAAGACAATAGGGCAGTGGTTCTCAACCTTCCTAATGCCGCGACCCTTTAATACAGTTTCTCATGTTGTGGTGACCCCCAGCCATAAAATTATTTTTGTTGCTACTTCATAACTGTGATTTTGCTACTGTTATGAATCGTAATGTAAATATCTGATATGCAGGATATATTTTCATTGTTACAAATTGAACATAATTAAAGCATAGTGATTAATCACAAAAACAAACTGGGTTTGAAGATAAGCAGTAAGATGGAAAGAAAATTAAGCAATGGAACTGAGAGTTCCTGGATTAGAATTTATTACACCATCACATTAAAAATAAAAGTATTTCCAATCTTGTTGGAAAAACACACTCCTACTGATAATATTATTTAGATCAGGGCTTTTCAACCTTTTCACCGATTGTACCACTTTTAGAATATGGCAACATTCGAGTACCACCAGTCACCTAGCGAGGTGTCAAAAACTTGACCCAAAAAAAATTGGAAAAAAGTGATAAAGTACAGGTAGTCCTTGGCTTACAACAGTTTGCTTAGTGACTGTTCAAAGTTATAACGGCACTGAAAAAAGTGATTTATGACCATTTTTCACACTTATGACTGTTGCAACATCCCCAGGGTCATGTGATTTACATTTCGATGCATGGATACTGATTCTTATTTATGATGGTCACATTGTTCCAGGATCATATGATCACCTTTTGCAACCTTCTGACAAGCAAAGTTAGTTGGGAAACCAGATTCACTTAACAACCGTGTTACTAATTTAATCTCTCTCTTTCTCTTTCTCTCTCCCTCTCTGTCTCCCTCTTTCTTTCTCTCTCTCCCTCTCTCTTTCTCTCTCCCTCTCTCCCTTTCTCTCCTCTTCTATTTCTCTCTCTCTTTCTCTCCCTCTCTCCCCCTCTCTCCCTTTCTTTCTCTCTCCCTCTTTCCCTCCCTCTTTCTCTCTCCCTTTCTTTCTCTCTCTATCTCCCTTTCTTTTTCTCTCTCCTTCTTTCTCCCTCTCTCTCTCCTTCTTTCTCCCTCTCTCTATTTCTCTCTCCCTCTCTCCCTTTCTTTCTCTGTCCCTCTTTCTCTCTCTCCCTCTCTCTTTCTGTCTCTCCCTCTCTCCCTCCCTCCCTTTCTCTCTCCCTCCCTCTCTTTCTCTCTCTCCCTCTTTTTCTCTCCCTCTCTATATTTCTCTCTCCCACTCTCTTCCTCTCTTTCTTTCTCCCTTTGTCTTTCTCTCCCTCCCTCTCTCCCTTTCTCTGTCTCCCTCTCTCTTTCTCTCTCCCTCTCTTTCTCCCTCTTTCTCTCTTTCTCCCTCCCTCTCTTCCTCCTTCCCTTCCTCCCTCCCTCTCTCTCTCCGATTGGGGATCGATTTGGAGGAGGGGAGGGGAGCGGCCGAGAGCTGCCCGTGTGACTTTGAAGTGGCCACCTTTGGAAGCACCAAGGCTGCTCCAGCCAGGCTTGAGCTGGGCAGAGTGGGCAATGGGAGAGGAGTGGGTCGATCACCTTACTGGCAGCTGGGACTCTGATGTGTCTTCCCGGCTAGCGGGGCCTACAGTATCAGGAGCCCCGTTGAGGAGGCAAGCCGGCATGAAGAGCCAAACCCTTTCTGCAAGGGAGGGACGTGTTGAGGGAGCCAGCCAGTCACGGGACGTAGATTCTGATGGACGGCTGGCCTGAGCCAATGAGGCGCCAGAGGACTGGAAGCCATAGTTGAAGGCTGAAACGCCTTCAGCTGTAACTGCTCACACGTGTTTGTGTGTGTGTGAGTGCACTGGCCCGGATCAATGTTGCTTTCCAGGTGATAGGCGCTTCTTCAGGGCTCAGCAGATGCACTGGGATCAATGCCGTTTTCCAGGAGATTGGTCCTTCTTTGGGGCTCAGGAGAAGCACCAGGATCAGCTCCGGAAGAAGCGCCAATCAGGCAGAAAGGGGAGCTGATCCTGGCGCTTCCCCTGAGTTCTCCCAGCCTCAGAGGAGCGCCAATTAGGCGGAAAGGGGCCGAGCTCTCCCGACCTTGGAGAAGCGCCAATCAGGCAGAAAAGGGCCGAGCTCAAGGCATGTGATGAGGGAAAGAATACAATTAACACACACACACACACAGCGCTTGTCTTCCACCACATTTTATTCACATCCATCTTTTTTTTTCTTCGTAATATTGGGAGTTGAAAATAACGATTCTACACAAATGCACACACAAACACACAGGTGGGCACGCCCCCTCTCCTCATTCAGTTCCTTTCCTTGGCTCATCCACTGCATGTTCCTGAGGCAGCGGCACAGCTTTGGCAGTGTCTCAGTTCCTAAGACCATCGGAAATATGTGTTTTCCGATGGTCTTAGGCGACCCCTGTGAAAGGGTCGTTCGACCCCCAAAGGGGTCGCGACCCACAGGTTGAGAACCGCTGGTATAGGATTTCCTGCCTAAGCAGGGGGTTGGACTAGATGACCTCCAAGGTCCCTTCCAACTTTACTATTATTATTATTAAGCTGATCCTTACCTGTAAAGAAAGATCGTATCTCTTGAAAAATGGCATCCAGTTCTCAATTTTCCTGAGAAAAGGTACACCTTCCATAAGTACATCCTTGGGTAAGAGTCTTCAGTCTAATTGCAGTAGGGTCAAAGCACCAGAAGGGAAGACACTGGATGGAAACTAATCCAGGAGAGAAGCAAGAAATACGTAGAAATTTCCTAACAGTGAGAACAATTAACCAATGGAAGAGCTTGTTTTTTTATTATTTTTTATTTTCAATTTTTTATTACATTCATAAAAAATACTTCAGATAAAGAGTAAAATAAATTTATACACACAACTTTCGGTATTGCTCACCCATTTCCCCCCAAACCGCATCCACCCTCTAACCTCTTCTCTCACTTCCCTCTTTCCCTATTCTTCCTCACTCTCCCCCTCTCCTCCTTCTCCTCAACCTTCCTACTTACTTCTCCCCTTCCTCCTATCTTCTCACTCCGGATGCAGTCCAGGGGAAATGCCCGAGCAATTCCTCTCTCCAAATTAAAACATCAATATTATATACAATAAAACTATTTCTACTTATCTGAGCTATTTAACCTTCAACCCATCCTCCCCCCACCCCCTCCCCCTCCCCCCCACTTCCCAGAGCCATGTACAGGATTATACAAACATATTAAACATAATCTATTTAAGTTTACTAATTATACAATAACCAAAATCATAATAACCCTTAACTCTCTTCAAACTTTAACATCATAATTTTATAAACAAATCCATTACTCATAAAATAAATGAAACTTTGTAGTTCCATATTTCATCTGAACATATTCTATCCATCTTCTCCATACAATAACATATCTAAGAGCTTGTTTACAGAAGTTGTGGGTGCTCCATCACTGGCTGCAATGGTATAGGGCAGTGTTTCTCAACCTTGACAATTTTAAGGCATGTGGACTTAAGCTCCCAGAATTCCACAGCCAGCATTGCTGGCTGTGGAATTCTGGGAGTTGAAGTCCACATGCCTTAAAATTGTCAAGGTTGAGAAACACTGGTATAGGGTCTCCTGCTTGAGCAGGGGGTTGGATTAGAAGACCGCCAAGGTCTCTTCCAACTCTGTTATTTTATTATTTTACCAAAGAACAGAATGACAATTGGGAGCCAGGCATGCCTCTTCATGCAAACAAAGATTTCCCCTTAGATTCTACTGAAGACCTACATTCTAGGATCATCTTTAATAACTCAGTTAGCTTGAGGTGAGTCTTTCCTCTAAGGCACCTACTTTCCGTAACATTCTGTCCTGTTTTTTCTCCTCTTTAGGCCAAATAATGTTCATCTCAGTTCTCTGACAGTCTACTTACTTTGTACCCAAGGTCCACAGTCTTTAATTTGGATAACTTTGGTTAAAATGTGGGTTTTTCATGCAATATGTGGAATGTTCTTTTGGCACAGAATATATGCAGCTTTGATTTATTGCAGGTTAATCCAGGATAAGAAAAGTGATTGGAGAGATATATCTACTCTTTATTTGATGATTTTTTTCCCCTTGCGTCTATCTCTTAGCTCCCTTTACTGTAAACCTCTTTTATTTTTCTTGGATGAAGCAGTTGAGTGGTTAACCTCCTTTGAATAACCTTTGATCAACCAATAATGACTTAACTTATGGTGTGGTATTTCTCTCTCTCTCTCTCTCTCTCTCTCTCTCTCTCTCTCTTTCCCTCATACTCAGTCTTATCCGATTCCCCCTGGATTAGTACTTATGGCTCCTGCAAAAACCGATGCTTTGAACTTGATGAAGCAGAGCCTCCAAGGTGCCGTTGTGACAACCTGTGCAAGAGCTATAGCAGCTGCTGTGTTGACTTTGATGACCTGTGTTTAAAGACAGGTAGGGTGCAGCTTAACTCTCTGCTCCATAGAAAGAACTATGTTAATGAGGACTTATCATGGCTGTTTTTAACCAAGCAATGTTTTTAACTATGTTTGCATGACTGCTGGTCCTTTTCAAAAAGCACTGGGGAAAATGAAAGCAGTGCTCTGCAATCATTCTGGTTGTTAGACAATGCTTGATGAGCATGAGACACTGGTGCTAAAGCATTCCAAACAAGATATTTATTGGGGAATAATCATGGCTCATTCACACACATTTTACAGAGGCCCGGTAATGGCCTCATCCATTTATAATCTTCCTGCATTGTCCAGTGCTCCACTCATTTTTCATACAGGAGAAGATCTGTGTGAAAAATAAAGTCATCACTACAAGTGTAGATGTGTTTGTGATACTCTTCCATCCTTTCCTTAAAACAGGTGTGGCTTAAATAGTTTATAATGTTGACTTGGAAGATTTATAGCAATCAGAGGTTTGGACAATGTGCTAAACTCTTAGATCTGAAATGGAACCCATGGGTTTTCATTCTTGTGACTACCTTGCATGTTAACCTCGGCCAGAAAACATGGATATTTAAGCATCTGTCAAATTCTGATGTATGTTTAAGTATCTTGTAGATCAAATTTGTCAGACTTTTGTCACAGAAGGAGAAATAAGGCAGAACTATTATAGGTAGTCCTCAGCTTATGACCACAATTGAGCCCAACATTTCTGTTGCTAAGTGAGACTGTTTTTAAGAGTAACATACCGGTAGTTGTTAAGTGAATTTGGCTTCCCAATTAAATTTGCTTGTCAGAACGTCACAAAAGGTGGTGACCATGGGACACTGCAACCGTCATAAATTTGAACCAGTTGCCAAGGGTCTGAATTCTGATCATGGGACCATGGGGATGTGAAAAATGGTCATAAATCACTTTTTTCAGCGCCACTGTAACTCTGAATGGTCACTAAACGAACGGTTATAAGTTGAGGACTACCTGTACTCATTTTCTTTCCAATGTTATTTTTCATAGATAAGGAACTGAGAGGTGGGCTAGGCATCAAGCATGTTCAACCATAAATCACAGATTCTAAATCACATAAGGGCTAGCTGCAACGTTTGAATGAGGTCATTGTGGAGAATCAATCTGGTAACTGAACAGCGGTTTAGAACGCTGTTTAGAAAATATGGAACCAACATGACAACTCTTTCACCCCAGAATGATTTATCCATAGTTGCGAGAAAAGGGTAGTGTATTTCCATGCTATGTCATGAAGCAGATATTCTAAGAAGCCAAGCTTCGTAGACCTGCCTTTGTCTTCTGCACGGCCTCTTTAGAATGTTCACAACAGACTTCAGTAAAGGTCTCAGGTGATCCTGAGTGATTATAATCCAATTCAGGTGCCTCAAAATGTGCTGCTTTGTTTTTAAAACATTTCTGCCCTTGTGACGACACCAGCTGGTGGTTGGGAATGTACCAAAGAGCGCTGTGGAGAGACCAGGAACGAAGACCATGCCTGCCACTGTTCAGAAGACTGTTTATCAAGAGGGGACTGCTGTAGTAACTATCAAGTGGTTTGCAAAGGTACGCCTTCCCATTTTTTTCCCTTCCTATATATTAAGAAGTTTTGAAGTGTTGCAGCTACTAGCTCTGCATGGATGATCACGCAGTCCAACCCTGATAAAGCATGTCCTGTGATAACCATAACAATTCTTGCTTAGTGCATGGTGGTCTGAACGCAGTAGAAAGACGTCAGCTTCTTAAGGAGTCTGTAAAAAGAGTCCCTGTGGATTTTACTCTGCTAGTTGTTGCCAACTGTAAGGGACGTTGTTCATCTCCATTTCAAGAGCCGTTGAGTCAGCATTTGAGCCAGATGTTTCCGTGGTTATATGGCCAGCATGACATCATGGAGTGCTGTTTCCTCCCCACCAAAGTGGTACCTATTTATCTACTCGCATTTGCATGCTTTCGAACAGCTAGGCTGGCAGGAGTTGGGGCGAGGATGGGAGCTCATCGCGCCACATGATGCTTGAGCCTCAAACCTCGACTATTAGTTTTTCCAGCTGACAAGCCCAGCATCTTAACTGCTTAGCCATTGTGCAGCCCCAAGGAGTCTGTAGGATCAGATTTTTTTTTTTTTTGCCATTAACCCAGCTCTTCTACTTCTACCTATGGTTTAACTTCCTCAGTTTTGATAAGTTTTTTTATTTATTTTTGGCCAAGGACTCTTAGAGGAAGGACTCCATAACTTAGCCCCAACCAAAAGGAGATTGAATAGCTCCATGCAATTCTGACGGCCACATTTTTAGAAATGACTAGGACCCAGAGAATGTAACTGGCTCCAAATCACCCAACTGGTCTAAGCCAGGACTAGAACTTAGTTTCCCCTTTTCCTAATCCAGCACCTTAACCAATGGACCAAACTGGCTCTTCATTAAAATAATAGATTATTTCAGAGGAATATTGTTTTATCTCTCCACTTGTTTCTTCTACTCATGGTCAACCGACCATTTTGCTTGTTTGTTCTGTGAGCAAAGCTCTTTTATTTTGAACTACCACTGAATATCTTTTGAACTTTATTTCTTTAAAAAAAAAACTCTTGTAAATGTATTCTGTCTCTTACTTGAATCCAGAACGGTGCCTTTTTCCTAACCCTACTAATTCAGATTTCTGTTCTGCATCCCCTATAATACAAACATGGACTTCTGTTGCTAAAAACAAAAAAGGCTGTGGCTCCATAAAAGCTAATCCATGACAGCTTGTGTCATAACAAATCTGTCAGTCTGTAAGTGCCACAAGGCTTTCTCTGTCCCTGCCGCAACCAACAAACATAGCTACCCCTTCAAAAGTTGTTTCCACTGATAATATTAACTTTGGGAGTTTGTTTTGCATTTGTGCTTGCTATTAAGTGGAGAGAGCTGAGGATTTTATTTTCCGTAATTGACGTCATGAGGTCCAAGTTTGCATCTTGCAACACTGTTCTCTTCAGGCAAGGTTGGGAAGCTGTAACACTAAAGGCAAGGATGAGGTGGACATGAGGACAGCTATTCTGCTCCCAGAATTTGCTTCAGAGTGGCATTAATAATGCGAATGCATGAGATACATATATGCCTGCAGACCTTGTTAACAAATTATCTACTTTTTAGAGAGCCCAGCTAGATGTTGAAGCTTGGCACTGAAAGCAAAATTAGAGTGAGCATACATTAGACAAAAGGTCAGCTCACATATCTCACTAAATCAAGATTGTATTATATCATGACTTGTTGAACAGATCATGGTTACCTGACTTACAGATACACTAAATTACAATTAATAGGATGTAATTCACAAGCCAACAGAGTGCTGTTGCCTTAGCAAATACAATATATCTTCCTTCTAGACCAGTGGTTCTCAACCTTTCTAATGCCGCGACCCCATAATACAGCTCCCCATGTTGTGGTGACCCCCAACCACTTATACATCAGCGGGTGCCAGGGGCGTGGCCAAAGAAAAGGGGGAAAAATGGCGGACAGCCTTGTTTGGCGACCCCCGTGAAATGGCCGTTCGACCCCAAATGGGGTCCCGACCCACAGGTTGAGAACCACTGTTCTAGACATATCTGCATAGTTTCCAAATCCTGGGGACTTATGGGCACCTTTGGATTTATGAGATCAGGTTATGGTCCCTCTCAAAAGACAGTGGTCATGACTGCTGTGGCCAGCCAAAAGACATTCTTCTACCAGAAAGCAAAATAACTATAGGAGAAGGACAGGTGAGCCTGGGGGCAGAGTCAAGAGAGTAATCAGCCTGGGGTCATTATGTTCCCACAAATGTTCTAGTTCCAACTCCTTTTGAATTCCATTAACTCTTATCTAGCACCAGCTAGATACTTGTGTAGAGGCATGAGCAGTAAATCAGCTTACTGTACCTGGAGCTTAATGTGTGGTCCTGATTCTTTGTGCTTGACATTAATCATCAGACTGCAACTTCAACCTTTTTGGAATCCAGAAGCATTGCTAGGAATGCCAGCTTGATTTGAAACTGGCACTTGACTTTTTGGTATGCTGATTTCCAATTTTTTTTTTTAAAAAAAAAGAAAATAAACTTTAAGAATTAGGTAGGGAGGAAACTTGTAGGCATCAAAAAAATTGCTGGTATGTACATGGTCACTCCAGATACCACAGTGGGGCTTGAACCAATATAGGGAATGGAGAGGAGTCCTGCTGTTGCAATCCAATGTCTGTTTACTTGAGAATAAATCTAGGCCAGTGATGGCAAACCTTTTAGAGACTGAGTGCCCAAACTGCAAGCCAAAACCCACTTATTTATCACCGGGTGCCAGGTGGGCGTGGCTATGGTAATGGCAGTCTTGGTGGGTGTGGCCACCTTGATGTTGGTCGTGGGGAGGGACGCCTGTGGGGGCTGGGCAGGGTTGGGGGAGATCCAGGGGGTCTTTGGCAGGTGGGGCAGTGGACAGGAGGCTTGTCCTGTGGGGTGAGGTGAGGCAAGGCGAGGCGAGGCAGGATGGGGGTGCCATTGTCGCAGGGCAAGGTGAGGCAGGGGCCGGGATGGCTGCTGCCTGACACCATTGGCCCCAACACACAGAGGCCAGTGAGCACATGGGGGCTGACAGTGTCCGTCAGCAGCCACAACCTGCCGGCCCTTCCACCGGCACTCTCGGGCTCCACAGCTCGCTGCCAGCAGTTCAGAGAAGCTGCCTCTGAGCTGGCCAGCCGGCCGACAGCTGAGGAGGCGATGCAGTGGGTTGTGCCTGGGAAAAGGAGAGCATGCGAGGCCAGGAGGGATGGGAGGGGGGAAGGGAAACCAGCCATGCTGGGATGCATCTAGCCACGTGGGGTCTCGGCGAGTTAGCAGGCGGCTGATTGAAGAGGGATGGTTGCCATCTCCAGGGCATGGTGAGCGTGCCCACAGAGAGGGCTCTGAGTGCCACCTCTGGCACGCGTGCCATAGGTTCGCCACCACTGATCTAGGCAATTATAATGCACACGACTTAGTTGAACCCTAACCCAACTCCACATTACATGTGTTTTATTTTAGGAGACACTCCCTGGGTCATGGATGATTGTGAGGATATTCGAACTCCAGAATGCCCAGCAGGGTAAGTTCTTCATTTTATTTACTTATTTGAAATAAGAAATTGTTTTGGCTTCCCCTGGTTGCCAAATTAGTTGTGTGTTGTGTGACTTCTTTAACATGGTAATTGCCTGATCCACAAAAATCAGCATGAAGTCAGCCCATGTGAACCAAGGACATTTTAGCAAATGTTTGCAAACACACAGAGACACTTTCTTATAACAATATCTTGACACTTTATTGGACCATATGACCTGCACTAATAGGGGGAGGGAGAATTCTATATTTGAACTGTAATGAATTGCGTGGGAAAGAGCCAGAGCTGGTTTTGCTTCATTTGTGCCGAAATGATGTACCCAATAAAGTTTTGCATTAAGAGATCAAATTGTCTCGATGGTGCTTGCTTGTTTGGGTTCATCAGTCGGAACCTTGACAACAATTGTTGTAGCATGCCCACATGGGCACATGATCAAAATTCATTCACTTGGCAACTGGCATGTATTTATGACAGTTGCAGTGTCCCAGAGTCATGTGATCACCATTTGTAACAAGCTGACTTCCAACAAGCAAAGTCAATGGGGGAAGCCAGATTCACTTAACAACAGCATGATTCACTTAGCAACTGCAGTGATTTTACTTAACAACTGTGTCAAAAAAGGTCAGGCTAAGTCACAACTCTCATAAAACTGTAGCAATGGAAATTTCGGGCTCAATCGGCATTTGTAAGTCCTGGACCAACGTTTTGCAAACCTCAATTTAGTTAAAGGTGGTGGTTTGTTATTATTTGCACTTCATGGACCATTGTAATTGTTTGGATCTAAATTCTGAATTCTCCAGACAAGGTTGAAAATGTTCTTGTAGAATTGGTGGGGACCCAGAATGCTTCAGTAATGGGATGGGATGTAAATATAAAATAAAGCTCACAATGTTTTCCAATGGGGAGCTCCCATTACTATTATCAAAAGATAGAGTATCAAACAATACTCTGTCTTTTCTTCCTTAAGTTGTGCACTCATATATGTGCATGTGAGAAAATAGGATGGAAGGAAAGAAATGTTTAGCAAGCCAAGGTGTGTTGCAAATGAAAAGAATCATTGGACTCCCCATAGATTACAATCCAACACAACTACACAATGGAAAATTCTTCTGCGTGCTCCTTAGAAAAATATTCTCTCTATTTGGATCGTAATCTTCAATACAGTTTGAAAGCAGAATCATTAAAATGCCATCCATTAAGTTTGCTGTGGTTCCACTTTAAATCCTTAGTGTGCCCTAATGATCTCTTTCACATTATTAAAATTAATACCCATTAAAGCGGAACTAACTGGACATTATTTAGACAGAAAGATCAAGAAATGGATATAATTATATGGTTACTGATTCTAATTGATGCCATGTTTTTGGATGCATTTTTAACAAAATATTGTCAACTCTTTTTTTAATGCAGCATAAAGCATTCATGTTTGTGATTTATGCCTCTGCTGATGTACCGTAACTGTAGTTTCTCAGATTAAATAACAAAGCGTCAGGATAAATGCAGGTTCAAATGAAAATGTTACAGGTGATTGCTTTAAAAAAATCTCTTTGAAAAAGTATTGAGCTTTGAAAACACATCAAATATCTCTGTCTTATTTCAGTAATTTTATGCATTTTTATTTTCATGATCATTATTCTAAAACGGCCCTTTCTAATCTCCCTCCCTCCCTCCCTCTCTCCCTCCCCCCCTCTCCCTTCCCCCCCTCTCTTTCTCTCTCTCTCTCTCTCTCTCTCTCTCTCTCTCTCTCTCTCTCTCTCTCTCTCTCTCTATCTATATATATATATATATATATATATATATATATATATATATATATTTTCTGAGGTTTTCGCGGGTGTTTGTATGTAGGTCTTTGGTTGTTCGGGTTTTCTCCCGCGTAAAATTGGAAGTGTCTTGCCGACGTTTCCAAGACACTTGACTTCGTCGAAACGTCGCCAAGACACTTCCAATTTTATGCGGGAGAAAACCCGAACAACCAAAGACCTACATATATATATATATTCAGAGTGTCCATAGCCATTTTACCTTTTTCTTGGGGATGTGTGTAACATCTGTATCCCAGATAAAAACACCCAGGAACCTTTTAAAAACTTTTGTTAATGGGATTGCCTTTGTTCTCTCTTGCATGCTCTTACTGCAGTCAGTACTATTGGTTTACTAAATTATTGTTATTTTTTAGTTTTCTTCACCCTCCGCTGATCATTTTCTCTGTGGATGGCTTCCGTGCATCGTACATGAAGAAAGGTGAAAAAGTGATACGCAATATTGAGAAGCTAAGTAAGTGTGCAGCTTGAATAGTATATTTCAGAATGGTTAAGTTCTTGACTGGCTATGACTTCCGCGGGTTTGGGTTGGCCAACTTTACAATAAAGAGGGTAGGGCTCCATTAGTGTTTGGATGGAAACAGAAATAATAATAAGCATCATCACAGAATAGAAAGAGCTGCAAGTAGAAATGGAAGAGCTATGGCAAGAAAGCAAAGATAGAACACATAGTGATAGAAGACCTGGGTGCAATCCCTAAATATCTGCAGAACCACTTGAGCACCATCAACAATTGACAAAAATTAGTCAGTTGCAAAAAGCAGCTTGACTTGGAACAGCTTACATTCTGTGACAGTATCTTTAACACCCCCAAGCATCAAAATCTGCCTATCCCAGCCCCTTGGCAAGGACTTGATAGATGAATAAACATGCCAAATCCAATCTAAACGTCTGGCTGTCTGTGTGACCAATTGAATTGAAGAAATGTTCTGTTTCTCATACACATCAGCTTAGCATAGGATGAAAATTTATATAACAGCCTTTCTTGAGAGGTGTTTACTGAGATGTAAATCAATAGATAAAATTCTATATTTTTTCAGAGCAAATTCCAAGGAACAGACGCACAGACAAATATGTATATGTATATCTATGATATCTATATACCTGTATCTATATATCTCTCTATATCCATCTATAATTCAAATTTTTGCATGGTCTTGTTTAATTCTTGTGAAAAATGTCATACTTTGGGTTGTGTGGTTCAAAGCAAGAGGCATACATAAAACTGAATTTGTAACAGTTCAATGTGCTGTTGACATCTTGATGAGGAATGTCACATAAGCCTTCCTCTGTTCAAAGCAGATGTGATACACCCAGCTTTATAGTGTGCCTAAATATATGTCTGAGAATGTGTTCAATGACTCTGGAAATGTTTGAAGTTTTATACTTAATGGAGTGAAACATTTTTTTTTTTAAAAAAAAACCCTGTATTGCAATTATACTCCATGGGTTAAAATTTGACCAGATGCCTGGATAAAAATGTGGTCATTTTCAAGAAATGAACTGTACTCTAGAAGGATACAGATCTTCCCTTGTTTGATTGTTGGATTCTATGTTGCTAAAAAATGATCTATCCTCTTATCCATACTGCATGTTGGCAGAGTCAATATATTAGAGAAACTAATAGTTGAATAGTTGAGTTGAATAATTTGTGGGAACCCATCCATTTTCTTCATATACCATGTGAATCAAATCTTTACTTTAAATAACAATACGTTTGTTTTGTTATATTTGTTATATTATGCATTGTTAACCAATTTTAAGATTTAGCATGTTTCGTGAATTGAACCATGTTGTTTTCAGGATCCTGTGGAACCCATGCCCCTTATTTGAGACCTGTCTATCCGACCAAAACCTTCCCAAACTTGTACACTCTGGCAACTGTAAGTTTTCTTTTTCTTTATGTATACATAAAAATATGTTAAAAATACTTCTTGTGCATTAGCATGACTAGAAAATTAAGGAATATATTACCATCTTTCCTCTTTTGAATTGGAGGAAAACAGGAAAACATTAATTTGAGGATGGTCGTCTATATTCATGGGGTAGAGAAGTAATCAAGATTATGTAATCTAAGGAAGAGTTGAGAAAAGACAAATTCTGATCATTGAAATATATCTCGACTTGTGGCTTAAAGATGTATTGTTCCATAGTGGTGTCCCCAAGTATAATGCATCTTCAGTTCCATCCTATTCATGCTGACTCTTGATTATGGAACTGAAATCCCAAATCTGGAGAGTATTGTCTTGGGGAATTCTTTCAGAATGACCTTTAGATCATTTTGTTTGTAGCTCAGAATTGAACTGTAGGGTCCTTAGTCTTTCTGAGCTTGATGGTTTTCTTATAGATGTTTCACGTCTAGTAGCACTGATGATGTTACCTTAATTTGGTAATGAAAGGCCCGCAAGAAAACCACAAGCTCAAGGAGCCCCAAGGAACCTGCAGAATTATCTTTGACTGTAAGTGGAAGCTTCAGTAGCACGTTTAGACACAAGAAGAGGACAAAAAATAAGATAAAATTGATGTTATGAATTCTAGGTAATAAAATGTGACTTCTGATCCAATTAACTTATTTATTTTTCTCAAAGGGACTGTATCCTGAATCTCATGGAATAATTGGAAATTCAATGTATGACCCTGTGTTTGATGCTATCTTTAACCTTCGAGGAAGAGAGAAATTCAATCACCGATGGTGGGGAGGTCAACCAGTAAGTTTCAGTTTTATTTGACTTTGGTCCATTATGGTTAAATCTCGTAGCTAGTTGCTTTCACTCTTTTACATGCAATTAATTTCAGTCAGTATTTAATTCAGTCTATGCTAAATGGACAACCATTTGTCTGAAATGGTATAGGGTTTCCTGCCTGAGCAGGGGGTTGAAGACCTCCAAGGTCCCTTTTCAACTATTCTATTCTATTCTATTCTATTCTATTCTATTCTATTCTATTCTATTCTATTCTATTCTACTCTACTCTACTCTACTCTACTCTACTCTACTCTACTCTGTTCTTTTTCTCTCTTTTTGTCTTGGCAACTATATATATATACTCTAGACCAGTGGTTCTCAACCTGTGGGTCGGGACCCCATTTGGGGTCGAATGACCATTTCACGGGGGTCGCCAAAGCACGCAGTCCACCATTTTTTCCCTTTTCCCTAGCTGTCCTACTCCCTCTTATTGGTGGCCACACCCACTTGGGGGTCACCACAACATGGGGAACTGTATTATGGGGTCACGGCATTAGAAAGGTTGAGAACCACTGCTCTAGACTTATGAAACTACTTTGAAAACTTGAAAATAGTCCTTGGCTATTCATTAAAGGCCTTCATTAAAATACACACATTTACAAAGGGCACTTGTATGGAAATTCCAGGCCTGTCTTCAATTGGATTTGACAATTCTGGGCTGTCAAAGTAGGGAAGCTGCATATTGAACAAGATTTTTTTTTTTACCACATTTATTGATATTTTTTCCCTTTTCCTTCGGAGGGTGCTCTTAAATAATCTTTTTCATACCATTTAGTAAGGTAAGTATTATTAGTATTATTAAGAAGCCTATTAGTGGAGGGTCACTTTAGAGTGCCTTCTGAACTGGCTGTTTGAACAATAAGGAGCCATGTCCTTTGAAGAGGTAACACAGCTGCTTTGAAGATTTCCACTTGTTTAAGTGTTGAGGGTATGTGTCTATGTATTTATGCATAAGAAGCATTTCTTCAGTATATATGAACAGGTACACCCAGAGGAAAAAAGCTCACTTGGAAAGATGAAAACATTATTACCAACCAAAAGAATCCCTTCAGATCATGACTGATATGCATCTCTAAATATTGTTTTGAGAGGCATAATTATCCTATCCATAATTATGGATAGCTACGCTAGGTAGCCTAACTCAAGCTATTTCCATACTGTGTTGTTATTATCTTTCTATTCAATCGGGGATTTTCAGAAAGGATCCTTACTTACAGTAGTACTCCTTACAAAGAGGACTCTCTGATCCTCTCAGATTGAAAATAAGTTAAGACTGGTTGAGCATTCTTTTATATATTTTATGTGGCTTTATTCTTCAGCTTTATGTTCTATTTCTCATCTAAACTACTGGTTCTAAATTCTTCTAGGAATTTGATCAATGCTACATCATTCTTGAATCCCTTTTAGTTGGTTTTTAAAAAACATTTTTTTGTTGCAGGAAAGTTTGTTCTTATAATAGACATTTTGAGCCATTGTAATCTGATTACATTTTCCTCGTTAGATATGGATTACTGCTGCTAAGCAAGGCGTGAAAGCTGGAACATTCTTTTGGTCTAAGTAAGTATTGATTTTTAGAAAGTGAAAATTCATACACAAAAGTGATTTAGTAACAAAGCTACAATCCTAAAGGCAGGCATTTAGAACCAAATGTTCTTATATGAATAGACCTTAACTTTCAAACAAAGATAAAATGGATTTCCTTGGCCTACCTATTAGTGGCTTTTAAATCAGACAGCACATTTTCCACTCTGTTCTTGCTTTTTTAGAAGAGATTAAATTATATTTAGAATGGGCTCCTTTTGTTATTCTTAATACCCAGTTACTTACATAGTGCTTTTTCTGCAATGCTTAATTGAACATTCTTCCAGGAATCAATTGACATGAGAAATCAATGATCTGCAGTGATGGTTGGAGTGAGCTAGCTTGTTTTTCTATATGTTTGTAAAAGTGTTGCTACCATCTTCCAAATGTGTCTTCTGGTTGTAAAGGTATTATCCAGCCTTCACTTACCAAGTACTTTGTGACTGTGCCTAATCTAACATACTCTGCTGTTTCAACCAATGTCATCTGGCATTAGTGGTCGAAAGGCTAATGGGAATAGATGAATAAAAGGAAGACATGAATAGAGTAGTCCTCGACTTACGACTTATATCCAGAATTACGTTTGTAAGTCATGCCAATTGTTAAGTGGGTCATCACATGACTGACACATTTTACGATATTTTGCAGCGGTCTTTAACCAAGTCACCATGATAGTTTTAACTGAATGCTGCAGTTGTTAAGCAAACCATTTTCCGCAATGGGCAGGGGTTTTTTTTATCCAAAATTGGACGTAAAGGCCAGTTTGGGGTTAAAAAAAAAAGATAAATGACAGTAACATGACTGCAGGATGCTGCAAGCAGCCATAAATGCAGGCTGATTGCCAAGCACCCAAAATGCAATCATGTGACCCCAAGTGGGGAGAGAGTCCATTGCACTTCAAATCCAGGTTGTAAGTATTTTTTGGGAGGTCTTGTTATAATTTTGAGTCTGGTTGTAAGTATGTAAAGCAGAATCCTCTTGTTGTGTGGCCTGTTACACAGCCATCAATATGTCATGCTGAAGGTAGTATCTAGCCACAATCTCAAGTAGACATTGATAGTTTTATCCACTCTGAATGTGTGTTATTTCTCCTTTTAAATTAAAGCTATTGTATTGGCTGTGGTTTGTTCTCCAAGCTTATTTTAATATAATTCCTGAACGTTTCATTACCAAACCAGGTAACATCATCAGCAGGATTTTCTTGTCCTCTTCTCTTTAGCTCATAAGCGTCTTGAGCTGAAAAGAATAGAACAAGAAAAACCTGCTGATTGTATTATCTAGTTTGGTAACAAAACATTCAGGAATTATATTAAAATAAGCTTGGAGAACAAACCACAGCCAATATCTAAAACCCAAGCTACAAATATTTCCTATTATTTTAAAGTTATTGTGCTGACAGCTGCTAAAACATCATAGGGAAGCAAAGTTTGGTTGTTGACCTACATTTCATTTGTTGAGCTACACGTTCTTAAGGATATACTTTCATGTATTTATCATGAATTTCCCACCACTTGGCTTGACCAGATGACCCCAGTTTTAATATTTCTGGTCTCCCTTGATTAAACCAAAAACCCTATCCATTTTTCAAAACCACAATTTAAGAATCCCATCAAGCTTCAGACACTGGAGAAGAAAGCTTGCCAACTCTATGGGCAGTCCACTACATTTAATTTGCTAAAGAAAAGCAAGGCATCTTTTTGAGCTGAGAATTTAGTAATCATGATTCCTGGGATTTGGTGTTGAGGAAGCAATTCAGCTAAGCTGCTTTGTAATAGGCAGACATTTCTGATGTAAACGTGGCTTCAAGAAGAGTCACCCCATGAAGCTCATAAATGGAACATCTGATCTCAATGACGAAGACCATAAGAAAATAATGATCTAGCTCAGGTTTCATGCTTTTGTTCTCTGTTTTGATTTAGTGTGATCCCTTATGAGCGCAGAGTATTAACCATACTGCAGTGGCTAACTCTGGCAGACAATGAAAGGTTGGTCATTTCTCTGTCCCCTTCCTTATTTTTGTAGCAGTGAATGCAATGACTGCATTATTAGAAATTGACCTTTGATCATATTTGTTTGCTTGATGAGCTAATAATGTATACGTTGTACTGGGGAAATTTTAATTACGTGGGTTAAAGCTGTTGATGTATGGGTTTTCTGATTTTCTTATTTAGAGTAATAATCCAAGAGTTGGGCAGATATCAAGATTTTTTAATTGGGTAATTGAGAATACATGGCATTGTATTTTGCTTTGAGGGAGAGTCCAAGAAGGAACAACTGTAGCCTTTTCCCATCACTTAGAGAAAATTATTGAATGTTTTTTCCAAGAGCTTGTGCTTGTGCCTCTTTTGGCATATTTTCTAAAGTTTTAATGAAGTTATAATATAGAACACTAAATTGTTTCATCACTGGAAAATATATGAAATGGCAGCTTCTGATTCTTTGTTTTGTTTTTTTTCACAACAAGAGTGCAAACCAGGTCAGAACCCTGCCTGAACTTGCTCCCATACTGTCACGATAACCCAGCAAAGTGAAAGTGAAAGGGAAAGTCCAGAATGCTCCTAGGTGTTTGGGAAACTACCATCTAGTCAAGAAAGAGGGACTCAAGTAACCTTGAGTTATTCTTGCAGCCACAAGAGTCCTAGCGCTAATTCCATGGAACTTTATCTGTTTGTTCCCAGGGAAGGGCAAGCAGTCTGGGGAGTTTCCTGTATTGTACTGTATATAGAATACAATAAAGTAGTCAACCTTCCATAGAAGTCCGGCATGTTGCACAGGTCAGAAGGAGGGCTGAGAAAATATCTGCAGACCCCTCACATCTTGGACCTAAACTGTTTCAACTCCTTCCCTCGGGATGGTGCTATAGGCCAGTGATGGCGAACCTTTTAGAGACCGAGTGCCCAAACTGCAACCCAAAACCCACTTATGTATCTTCGGGTGCCAGGTGGGTGTAGCCCTTCGTGTGATTGTGGCCCATTGGGTGGGCGTGGCCTCAGTGGTAACGGCAGACTGGGTGGGACTAAAGAGTTCAATCAATCAATTCCAACTTTACGAGATCTTTTTTTTTCCCGTGAGAAGTTGAAATTGATTGATTGAACCTTTTTTTTTTTTTTGCACATGGCAGCGGAGGCCTAAAGCGAAAATGTTTTATAAAACCCAGCTGAAGGCCTAGGAATGGGGTGACAGCCTGCATACCCACAGAGAGGGCTCTGCATGCCACCTGTGGCACGCATGCCATAGGTTCGCCATCACAGCTATAGGCCAATCTATGTCAAAACAACTAGACAAAGGGACAGTTTTTTCCCTTATGCTTTCACTCTGCTGAATGTCTAATTCTCACAGTGCTGCCTAATGTTTATGTATACTTACCCATGTAGTATGGCTGTAGTATTATTATTTATCCTATTTATTATCTTCTTTATTATCTATTTATCCTATTTATTATCTCCCCCCACCCCCTTTTATTGATATTATTATTCTGTTTGCATGAACACTGAGAGTTTCTGTACCGGAGACAAATTCCTCGTGTGTCTAATCACTATTGACCAAATAAAGTATTCAACTCAACTTGAACCCTTCTCATGTGGATCTGATTGCTTGCACCTGACACCTGGGGAGAAATTACTATCAGAAGCTTCTCTGGCTGTGTCTCAGCAAGTTAACAGCAGACTTTTCCAAACAAAGGCTGGAACAAGTATTTAGTGGGCTCCAGCTTTGCATGTGCAAACCTCACAGTTTGTATCATAAATGTTAGAATTCTGTCCGGGCAGACTGATAGTAGAGTTGGGATTTCCTAAAGCTACTGCTACAGACAGTGAATATCAATCCAATAAAGAGTGGCTTTCTCATAAACACCCCTCCCCCCAATCTCATAAACACTACCAGACACCCTCGGAGTTATGCAAAACCAAGCAAACTTATCCTCATGGTTTGAAATGTTATTGCTAATTTCCAGTCAGCAGGCTTTGTTTACCTTTGTTGCAAAGTTCCAGCAATATTTTACTGGATATATTGATTTTTATTTCTTCGCCGTCTCTAAATCCAATAAAACCATTTGTTTTATTCTGAGGGATGGGGTGAATTTATAATTTTAGGGAGTTGCAGTATTTGAAAGTGAGAATTGCATGCTAAATGAAACTTGCTGATGTCTGCTTTTCTTTTCAGGCCTTATGCTTATGCATTTTACTCTGACCAACCAGATATGGCTGGCCACAGATATGGTCCATTTAGCTCTGAGGTTAGTACAGTTCATCTTTGCCCATAAGTGGAATGCAATCCTGCTGCTCTGGGTTTTGTTACCATCATATGAATCTGTATTGCTAGTCCTGAATCAAGTTGTTTAAAGCTAGTTAATTGTTCACACCTCTATAAGCCTCGAAAGGAAATAGGGCCTTCTGAAACTAGACACTACATTTATAGAGAGGACTAAAATATTAATAACATTATCCATCTGCTTAAAGTTTCAGGGACTGGTGATCTGTGTCTGTGTATATGTGTATGTGTTGACAGGGTTGGGATTATCATTAAAGACTTGCAAGCCTACTCTTGGATATAATCAAGGTTGACTAGGTTTTTTTTTAAGTGCTGGGGTGTGAAAGGAGCATTTTTTGTGTTTTATAATAATTCAGTAATTTCACACATATTGTTTATGCAATGTTTACTTTCTGCATGATGTGCTAAATCAGGAGGCTTGTCTAACTGCTTCTAACCGTAACCATAAGTGATGTTAGCCACTTGGATAGAAACAGGAGAATAAGCAGACAGGCTTCAGAGCAGCGTTTTGCAGCTTCAGCAACTTAAAGACAGGTGAACTTCAATTCCTAGGCTGACTGAAGCTTATTCTTAAAGTTGCTGAAATTGAGAAACATTGTTTTAAAAGGTAGAAGGTGGAGAGATGATTGAATGATCATTAAGTAGGCAGTCTGGAATCTACCTCTAGTTAAAATCCATCAATGCAGCCAAATCGCTTGTATGACTGAGATCCAATTATATATTTTGTTGATCCTGTGCTTTGGCCTTGAAATCTAGGGCAGAGACCTAATTCACACTGAATTAGTGTGAATTAGCAATGGCATTGGGGCAAGGAATTCTGAAACTGTAATACTGTCTTCCTTTTCCTCTCTGTGAATCCAGAGCCAATGTGAAGTTTGAGAAAAACCTTTTTCAAGTTCCAAGCACAGAGGTTAATTATTTTGTTACCTCAAGTTCTAATAAAGTGCTGTTCTACAAGGAAGATCTACACAGTTAACCTTTGATCATAGATTCTGAGGGAATATTCTCCCAGCCACATAAGAGCTGCTTAAACAAACAGCTCCAACAGGGTTGGGAGAACATGGAAAGAATAGATCAGTGTTGGGTTGCAGCTCCAGGCAGAGATTGCTAAACTGGCAGATCACTGATACCATAGAAAACAATTTTATGCATCTGCTGATGGGCTTATTAAAGTTAATCAGAGTGTGGCAGGCATTTAGCCAGAGTTTCACTCTTGGATAAAGAAATGGCTTTTAAGATGTCTGTATCTGAGAACAAGGAGAGGATTGATTGGTTCAACAGCATGATTCAAAAATCTTAATGTAATTATAACAATTTAAATCCAAGTTTCCTGATTTTATTCCAAGACTGTAGAACACTTACCATACAACTCCCTTCTTCAGATCTGTACTCTGCAGATGTGTTGGATGTCAGCTTCTACTCTTTCCTGGCCAATATGGTTATTGATAGCCCTTGAGGCTCCTATCTCTTATATCTTTGGCTCCTGGCAATCCCCAGCTGGTTATTGCAACACTTGATTCTGTTGCTCTCAGTATATTTTGGTAGTCCAGGACCAAAATAATATTGCTAAATTTAGAGCTGGAATTGGCCATAGACCTCGTTCTCATTGTTGTGAAAGAGTCCTCTTGCTGCGGAGGTCATCTCCATCCTTTTCAAGCATCAGCCCTGGGGGTGGGGAAAGTACATTCTCCTCCCAAGGTGCAGATTTGTGAAAACAAATTTTGGCTTTTGCAATTATTTTATTTGGCAGTGAAGTCCAGCTGCAATCTATCAAACCCTGCTTTGATTAGTCCCAAATCAGATTATTCCCTGCAATTGGCATCATAGTGATTGAAGGTCAGATGAGAATCAGAAGCAACATAAAACAGTTGCAATTATTTGTCAGAGATAAAAGTACATATTTCCCCTCCCCGCAATGAAATTTTCAGCCCTCAACTCATAAAGCTGCTGTTACCCTTGAGATGAAATGGAGAAGAGACATCTTCATCTCATATATCAAAATAGGTTTGGCTTCAGGCTTCTTTATTAACCTTTAGAGAAGTTAGTTTTTCTGTGGAAATTGTACAGATGTTCTGATTTACATCTGGACAGGATTCTTTGAAAGAATATAAGGAACTGTAAATATATCAGGAAATTCTTAGAAGTAAGACTTAGAGGGTAGTCTAGGAGCAAAACGATATCACTAAATTTAGAACTGGAATTGGCTATAGACCTCATCTTCACTGTTGCAAAAGAGTCCTCTTGTTGTGGAGATCATCTCCACCCTTTCCAAGCATCAATAATATTGGCATTTGACAATCAAAAGCAATTCTTTCCTCTTTCCTAACCCTATTCCACCCATTTGTTTTGAGCAGGCAAAACATTAAACATTTGGGCTTAATCTTAGATATTAAGATGCTTAATCAATAGAACTGGGAAACAAATTACAGAAGACTCCAACTCCCAATTCCTTAAAATAATTATTTTCTTGCCCATTTGGGGTCCTGGTGTGAAAAATCCCTCACAATGTGAAATCAAGCTTAAAATAGCATATATATTAGGTTAAAGCTGTAATTGTGAAAGATTTTACAATTTTAATGTGTTTTTATATTTTGTATTACTTTGGGAAAGTTACTACTGTATAACTAAGCATGTTGTGAACTCATAGCACAGTCATATCATAGTTAAGATGATTGTTTTGACTGCATCCCCATAGAAGTATGGATTGTGAATAGGCAGAGGAAAATATAAACAAGGCATTAAAGTCCACTACAGGTTAAATTTTATAGTGATTCAGGTGTTAAAATGAAGAAATATCACCTGCCCAGAATTGTGGGTGAAGAAGGTTGCATGTAATTATTGCTAGTATGCTTACTACTGTGTGGGTGTGTGATTGTGTGTATCATTTCAGGATATGGCATATAGCAATGTTTTGTTTGTATCTTGCTATCTTAATGGTCACCTTTGATAGGATTCATGGCAGGAATCTTAGACCATACATTACAAATTAAATAAAAGTAATTTCTATTTGGAAGGTGGTAATCCTCACCTGAAAGTTTATTATATGCAGAATGCATTCACCCTTGATCCTTTTTTTAGTGTTGTTGGAAAGCAAGAACAAGGGCAACAACAACAAAACAATTTTCCCCTGGAAAAATTAGGATGGTTAAAAGAGTTGTATTACCATATTACCAGAGGAGAAATGTTGTCATTCTTGCCAAAACAGTTAATGAGGTTTGGAGTCCATAGGTCCAAACTCTTCCTTTAGAATATAATTTACAAAATCATTCCAAGAGGACCAATAAAGAGGAATATTTGTAGCTCAGGGTTGAAATGAAGGTGTTCCCTGAGCTTGGTTGTTTTCTTGCAGACGTTTCATTACCCAAACTAGAGTAGCACTGCTGTTGCTACGTAGTTTGGGTAATGAAACATCTGGAAGAAAACAACCAAACTCAGAGAGCATCAACGACTCCCATCCTCCCCATTCCAAGAGGATTATAGAACTAATTTGGCTGCAAGTTAAAATTTGATTTTAATATACAATGATACTGGCTTCTCAGCTTAGTCTTGCCCATGCTGATGGGAATTAATGAAGTCCAGGGGTCTAGGCCAGGCTCCAGGTTGGCCAACTAAATCAGAATATTGAATATGAGACTTTCTTCTCCCTTCTGACTTTCCTAGTAATGATTTTGGGTTGTGGTCCCTCACTGAGATCAAGATTTGAAATTTGGTCTCTTCTGTTTATATTTAGTAATCCGCTCAGTGTACCACATTGTCTCACAATGAGAGCACTTTCTACATGGTAGGCTGACTACAGTTGGTAAATGTGTTTATTTGGGCAGTTTATCCCTCCCTTAATCCAGAGGGATTCTAGGCAGTTTCCCTAGAGATGTTTTACTGCTAAACTGAAAGTGAAGGTTGATGATGTAAGGAACCTTTAGACCAGTGGTTCTCAACCTGTGGGTTGGGACCCCATTTCACGGGGGTCGCCAAATAACGCAATCCGCCATTTTTTCCCCCTTTTCCTTAGCTGTGCTACTCCCTTTTATTCTATTGGCTTTTGAAAGCCAATAGAATAGACTCTCTTGAATCGAGTCTAATTCTATTGGCTTTCAAAAGCCAATAGGAATTGTCCAGGCTATCTCTGCCCTGCTGAGCCTGCCAAAAGTCCCATTCTGCAAATGGTGCTGCACCAGTTGAGTAGTCCTCGACTTACGACCGGTTGAGTAGTCCTTGACTTACGACTGGTTGGGAGTCGCGGCATTAAAAAGGTTGAGAACCACTGCTTTAGACACATTTTTGATCTGTCAGCTTGCAAGTTCAACCAGACAACTGATTAACTAGCAATCTGTATGTAAAGTCACAATAATTTTTGTAGAGGCTGCATCCCAATAATGATAGCTAATGCACAAAGATCTTAGAATGGTCTTCCTTTTTTTTTTTTTTTAAAGTAACCTAACCGGTCATTGGATACAAGATGGGTGGCAAATAAATTTCATAATAAATAAATAACACCAGAGCTATAGCGAGACAAAGCAATTTAAGATATCCAATCATGGTTCTCTGGTCTCATACCTACTTTTTGTTTTTGTGTTTTTAGCCCTGTCACTTGGATAATCCTCTGTCTGACAAACATTGCATGTTTAACCACGATATCTTGGTATTTAATGTCCTATGTTGAGACATTTTTGTTTCAAGTGCAAGTATTGGCTAGTTCTTTCGGTTCCAGAAGGTGGAACACTAGGTCCCATCATCCTCAGCTTGTATTGATCTCATTCTTCCAACGTAAAGCTAAGACTTGGCTGATTAATACAGATTTGGCTTTCTTCCTAGCTTTAATTTCTTAAGAAAGAGAAGCTATCTCTTTTGTGAATGTTTATACCAGTGCTGTTTACCATGATCAATGACTTGGGACAACATCCGTACGCTTAAGGATTGCTGGGCTGCTCTTCTAACATGCTACCCTGGAATGGGAGCTCTTGTTATTAGACCTATTGATGGCATAAGTTAAAATTCTGGCTGCGCTTCTCTTGGAAAGAGTGAGTAAACTCTTGAGAATCCTCCCTCCATCTGCTGCTGCTTTCATCAAGGCTGCACGAAGCTTGAACTCTTTTTCTTCTCTTCTTTATTTTTTTACTCTCCTTTATTTTTATTTTATTTTTATCTTTAAAAAAAAAAAGAAAACTGAAGCTGCTTTCTGGAAAAAGAGAGAGAGAAAGAGAGAGAGAGAGAGAGAAATGGAACTGGATTAGCATTTCCCTTCCAGCTGCTTGTCCAAAAGCAAAGAAATAACATGGCAGATGGTAATCCTGTTTAAAAAAAAAAAAAATCTTCCAAGAACATGGCTCTGTGATTGGAACAGCAAAGATGGAGAATGGATGTGCAGATAGAAGCAAATCCTTGCCAATTTTCAACTTCCCTTCTCTTCGCTTCTTCCTTTCTCCATTTTTTTTTAAAAAAATAAATAAGCTGCACTATCTTCCTGTATGTGATATCCTTCTCTGTTCGGGGAATCTGATCCTAAAAGTTGCCAAGAACTCTCATTGCAGCTGTCAATTGGAGTTGCATGCAAAGTCGCTTCTTTTTAAGATCAGTTTGAATAGCATCCAGCATCTCTGCACTGCTTGGGACTGCAGCTCTGTTGTTTTCAGATGATTTCTCCTCCTCTTAATACATGGTTCATTCATATCTTCCCCTCTCCTAGTTTTTCAAGCCTTTCCTCACATTCCACAGCACGATAATTGTGGAAAGCATATAGCTAAATCTAATGGTATCCTATATCCTACCTAAGGATATCCTATAATACAGGAAGCAAATGTGGGGTGTGTTTGCTCAATTCCTCCCTCCCCATTAAAGATCAGTCTGGATGTCTTTTAAAAACTGGGCATGTCTCCAGCTGCATGGGGTTGATGATGACTAGGAATTTGACAGTATAAAAATATTATATGAACAATTTTAATTTATTCTCTCCAGCACAAGAGAATTGGTATCTTACCATTATTCCAATAGAGAAGCATTGATTAGTTAGTACAATTTAAAACATAAGTATGTTGAGCATCCAGTAGTAGCAATGGCTCCTACTACTGATGCTTGCTTTCTCTTGATAAACTTGAAAAGAGTATTGGCCCCCTAAGCAAACAAACAAACAAATCAGACATCCTCTTCAGAGATGTTGTTTCCTGCAGACCCCAGGATGATTATCACAAATAATTAAATTCTTCTTTTCAACCTTGACATGACCATAGACACAATATAAATGGTTTGAACCAAGAGTTTTGGCATGCCGTGTCCTAGAGACGGGAAGTTTTTAACTATCTGATGTTGAGATGAGCTTTTTCTGAGTCCAAGCATCTCTCTCCGTCAGTACAGGAGAGTAGTTTTGGGCCCCCTCTTACTCCACCTAAAAGGCCTAAAAGAAAAATCAGTCCTAAGAGGATTCAGAAAAGACGTGTTACTCCTTCCAAGAGAAGACGAAAAGTACCTAGAATGGAACACTTGTCTGCGGAATCCCGTCGGATTAAAGTAAGTTTTCAAAACTGGTACATATCAACCACTGAGACTCTTAAACAACTTGATTTATTTTATTTTTTTTGTCCTCCCAACTTTGGGAGGAACGTCTTCCAAATCGAATTTTCAGTGCAGCCATCTTGAAAGGCAACAACCACAGATTGCCATCAAACAGTTGGAATCATTTGGTGCTTGTCTTTTCCTTCTTCCCCCCTCTTCCTTGGGTAGCATTCTCTGTCTCTTGGTGTAATCTTTAGATCCTCTTTTTGTTTAAAAATGTCACAGGATTCAGATGCAAAAATCCATTTAAACTGTTCGATTCACAGGTAGATAGTATTGGATTAGCCTGTAAAATCATGCTTATTGTCACCCTTACAATGATTTTTTTCAGTCAAAATGAATTTCTTGGAACTTATTATTTGGCTCTCTAGAAAGTTCTATTTGTAATACTTGCAAAGGGTTGAAGAAATTTTGCTAGGTTACTCCTGTTCACAACTTGATATGTCACTATTGGTTTCCTTTAGCAGGAGATATCAAATGAAGCCTCTTTCATAAGAATTGGTCTGTGGTCCTTTATAATTCCTAATTTCATGACTGATAATTATATGGTATCAAATTTTTGCAATACCGGATGTTGCTTGAAGCTTTATGAATATTTTGAAGCAATGAATATCAGTAACTTCAAAGGAGATTTATCTGGGGTATCTATTGAACAATCACACTCAGTGATCAAGTTGAATGAAATATGATCGTAAGGAAGTCCTGTATCCACAAGGTGCCTTCATTCTGCGTATAGAATCATTATAGGACATGGATATGGCTTAAACATAGATTGAAAACATGAAAGGTTGACCATATGGACCTATAGAAATGGATTCAAGATGATGTTTGAGTGTTTCACAGTATGAAATGTCTCTTCAGACTTTCGTGATGAATTTGGACATAGGATGTAAATGGGGTTGCTATCCTTTTTATCTTGGCAATACCATAATATTATCAAAGACAAATCTTGCCTTAAAATAAACAAATGAGAACTACTCAAAACACTCATTTGGGATTCAGGAATGTGCCCTGTAATGAACATTAGAGTTCCCACATTGAAAGGGAAGAGAGAATGGAAAAAAAGCTTTTTCTGTGACAGCATTCTTTCTTTCTTTCTTGTTCAACTTTGCTTAAAAAAATCATTCACTGAGTGAGGTCCATGAAACCTGCAGGATACATGGATTCCCATCTTCTAGCTTGTTAAAATAAATGTACTGTTAGAAATTAAGGTTGGAAAAATACTATCCCATAAACTTTATGAACTGAAGTGACCCATCTGTTTTAAAATTATCTTGGTTCCATGCTTGATTCTTTATTTTAGAACATGGTTTCTAGAGATGAGCTTAGGCTTTTAGGGATTAAAAAAGGGTTAAAGAACCGTAGCTCACTACAACTTTTAATTTTTTAAGTGAAACAGCTTAAGTGTGATATTCTTTAACACCAAAATCAGAAGACTATGGTTGCACATTATAATATAACTCTACGCTTATTAGAATATCTTCAGGTTTGCTTAATTCTTTAAATGAATGATTTCTCATATTATGAATCAGAGTTCAGATGTACATTATAGGTTTTACGGAAAATCTTAATCTGTTCTTTATTTCAGATATTATTAGTATTGATAATGCTGTTTTGAATATAATAAGATACTCCAAATATTTTAGTGTTCTCATAATTCTCATATTAAGAATATAATGAAAGAGAATAAATACCTGAAAGATAAACAATATCAATCATCTCTAGACCTCAGTTACTCAGAGGGATGAGTCAGAATATCTCTGAAAACAGTTGCTAAGGAATAATGTGAATGAAGTTATTGTTACCAATCTTTTCTTTTTTCCAAAAACTTCTGGTTAGCCATACAAGAAACATCATTCTGGACTATATTGATATTTGGCGTAAAGCAGTCCTTCAGAGAGATTAATATAATATAATACAGTATAGTACAATTGATATAATTATAGCAGTTTATAGAAACGTACATAATGGTATGTTTTCATCTGGTATCATCAGATGAAAACTGAGTGGGTTGATAGTGTTTACTTGTAATACAGTTAAAAAAAGATTAATTCTTCCTCTTTGTGTAAATATGTGTGCATATATAGATGTTAGGTCCACTAAGAGATATTGACAAGATCCTTGGGCAACTAATGGATGGACTAAAGCAGCTGAATTTACACCGATGTGCCAACATTATCTTCGTGGGTGATCATGGTAATTTAAAAAGTTTTCCTTGGTTTTTATGTAGAAAAGTCCCCATTTCTATTGGAAGGTATTTTATTAATCTGTTAAGATGAGTGTCTGTGGAGATTCTCAGTCGTCCAGGCCATGGCTTCCCCAAAAGTGCTTTTTCAAGAGGCAACTTTGTTTTTCTTGAAGACATTTGAGAAGCAAAATGTCTTTGAGGAAAAACAAAGAAAGTCCAGTTGCCTCTTGAAAAAGCATCTTTGGGACTGTTAAACTGAGCTGTATTTGAAGTGAAATTGCATTTAAATATAGAAATTATGATGTGCCAGCACATAGTATGGATTCAGCCTAAGATGAGGTACAAAGTTTTTAAAACAGATTGATTGTGAACAGATTTCTGAACAGCTAATTCATAGTGCAGTTTTGTGGTTTTTAAAAAAATCAAAAGTAGTTTTAGCTGATTATAAACAGATTTGATGATCTCATATAACTTTATTCTCTAATTCACATTTTTGACTGGCACAATGGCTAGCTTGATAAGACTTCTTGGCTGCTGTTCAGAACTTCAGAGGTTAGACTCCTCTTCTTATTGCCACTTAGACTACATTTGTGGAAATACTTTAATCTTTATAACTTAATCCAGCGCATTAATGTCTTCTAATTGCTGAAATGGCAGTCATTTTTCAGAATCATTTAAATCTGTGGAAGTTATTTCTGGATTAAACAACAAGCTTAGATTAATACATGTTTCCCCTGATTCCTTTTTAAAGATTTTTTTCCTCTGATTTCTCCCCATTTTTAAAAAATTGTTATTATAAATTTGTAAAATCTAAAGCAGAGGTCCCCAACTTTTTGGGTACCAGGGACTAGTTCTGTGGAGAAAAGTTTTTCCACAGACCAGAGAGTGTGTGTTTTGTGTGCTGCCTGGATCCCACGGATGGGGCTTGGCTTGTTTGTGTGGACTGGTTGCTGGCATGCCGTGGCCCAGTATTAGTCCACGGACAGAGGGTTGGGGACTCCTGATCTAAACAATATGTCTTTTAAAGCTAAAAGTGATATAAAGATATCTCATTCTTCAACATCTAAATAGCAAATGTCTAAACGTACTTCTTTCTTTTTTTTAATTTTTGTTTATTCCTTTTCCACTATACAACAATAAAAATGAAAGATACATTTTTTCCCTTAACAGAACTGTGTTATACATCTCATATATATTATTTACAATTTATTTACATTAGTAATCATATCTTTTTCTTTCTCTGTTCTAGCCAATCATAACATTTGTTCCATATTTCATAAAATTCTGTTGCCTCTTTGTCTTTTAATTCTAGCGTAAGTTTGTTCATTTCCGCGCATTCTAGAATTTTGAATATAATCATATCGTTTGTAGGTATGTTTTCACCCTTCCAACCCTGGCATATACTATGTGGGCTGCTGTTAATATATGTATAATGTATTGGAGTTGCTAAACATACTTCTTTCAATAATGCAGTGGTGCTGCTTATTCTGTAGGAATGGAAGATGTTACTTGCGAAAGAACCGAATATTTGAGCAACTATCTGTCTAACGTGGATGACATAACATTGATACCAGGAACTTTAGGGCGTATTCGTGCCAAAGCTAATAGTAATGTTAAATGTAAGTTTACCTTTCTATATTTACCCTCTAGCTTGAAATGTGTCCATTTTCTTTTGTGCTGTCTCTGACCTTGGTTTCCAAAAGATACGATGGCAGGGAATATATTTATAAAGGTTCTTCCACCTTCAGAGAGACAGAGTTATTGTTCAGAAAAGACAGTTGCTTTTTTTGATAGATAAGTTGGGTAAATTTACCTAATTGATAAGACTAATTGTTAAATAGAACCAGATCTTTGAAAAAAAACTTGAGATCTAAATGTTTTTGCCTCACAATGAAGTAAACCCTGAGAATTGTCAGCAAAGAGAAATTAGACAGTGCATTTCTGCTAATGTTTGCAAAACAATTTGTGCGGGTTCTAGAGTGGGCCAAGCTTGCTCTAGCAGATCTTCATCTTAAGATCTGAGCTTCGCTTTTTTAGTAGCACTGATTCTTCTGTTGGAAAATCTATAGCCAAACCTATAGTTTAGTTTAATGCATATGAATTATGCATTACATTCCTAATTACATATGAACATTTGTGTGTTGAAAACTCAACTAATGGCTCAATTTTGACTTTTCTTTCTCTTTCTGTTTGAAATCTCCCCATTCACGTAACAGTTGACCCCAAAGCCATTGTGGCCAATCTCACAGTAAGTATCTTAGTACTCTCCCTTCTTAGAGCACTTTAAAAAAAAAGATAGCTGTGTATAGTTGGATTTATTAACTTGGGTGTGGCTTTAAATGAAGAGTCAGTGTTCTCAGAGGAATCCTCATAAGTGTAGTTTCCATGGAGAAAGTTGTATGATGGTTATGGTGGTTCTTGTCATGTTTTATAGAACGGGGCTGTACCACTGCAGAACATCTGCAGAACATTAGCAGTTTAATTCCCAACATTTTTACTCAAGAAAGGAAAACTAAGTTAAAATGATGGGTAAAAGCCATTTTGGAATTGCTTTCAGACAGAGGAAAGTCTGATGCTAAGATACAAAATGGATCAATGGTCCATTTGGTTTTTATCAGACCTGGGCATTTTATGGCTCTTGGGCTACATCTGGCCCTCTCCTCCGGCCCACATGAGGTCAATCAGAAATTAGAAATTGCATGTAAATAAGTATATGCCATGTTCACAGTACAAGTGCATTGCTTTTATTTTGAAGGTGACTGCTATTTTTAAAAAATATGTGCATGCATGCTTGCATGCCTACACACCTTCATAGCCCTATTGGTGGGGTCGTCCACAACAGTCCCAGTTTCTCAACGTGGAGAAATTAATTGCCCATCCTTGGTCTTGATTGACTGATGGGCTGTCAAATCAATGTCAGCTCTTCATGACCACATAGATTTTCTCCAGGTTACAATCTCACAATTAGTCTTACAATGTCTACAAAATGGGGATTGTTCATCCTCACCAAACAGTGATTATTTCAATTAGCAGGTAGATTGGCCAATGTCTTCCATAGCCCCTTTCTGAACCTACTTCCTTTGTTTCAGTGCAAGAAGCCAGACCAGCATTTCAAACCTTACTTGAAGCAACATCTTCCCAAGCGTTTGCATTATGCAAATAACCGAAGAATTGAGGATATTCATTTGTTGGTGGAAAGAAGATGGCACGTGGCCAAGTAAATAAATATGAATTTTCTTATCTTTTTGACTTGCTGTAGACCTCCCATTTATCCACATATGACATCTGCAAACTCTTTTAACTGATTAATTCAGTGTGATTATGGGCCATCATTAAGAAATCAGTTGTGATATGACACTTTGGAACCCAATCTGTATGGAATTTGTAAAATATATTTTAGTAAGTCTCTGGCTCAAAAATGTAGTAAGAGCAACATAGATTCTTTATTTCATAGTGTCTTCTGAGTTAAACAACTATAACTTTCTAACATAATTTAGGTGACCAGACTTCCTACTATTCAAAGTGTCTTTATTTTATAAAAGCAATTTTAGGTAGTAAACAATAGCCACTAGCCAATCTGGAGGCCAGATTTAGCCTGTAAAACAGTGTTTCCCAGCCATTGAAAGCTCACTAAGTTTAAGTCAAGATGTACTAAAAATTGTTCTTATTTTTTAAGAAAAAAATTAACATTGTTTTTAGAATTTCTATGAGAGATTTTTTTTCTCTAATGCATCTTCTATGTAATGCTCCTATGATATGCTTATCAAAGGCACTAATCTTATGATGCAGGTTGATGACAGCACATATGTGCCATCAAAAGGGCTTGAGCTATGTGAAACATGCATATGATGCAATGGTACTAATCATATAATTTATGTACTTTCCAGCTGTTGAGATGTAGCTAGATAGAGGCATGATTTGTACAATGGTATTACTGTGTGGGTTGTTATCTTTGTGTCATTGTGACTTGCTGAGAATACTGCTATCCTCAACCACCATTTGAGAAAGAAAACAAAAGTTGCCTGTTTCTTTAGAGATTTGTAGATCAGCAAATCCACAATATTTTCTGCAGTCCACTGGAAGTAGAACCTTAATGTTTATAGAAATTAACTGCTGGTATATTCAAGAATCTTCTTAATGTTTTTAGGAGGCCTGGAGATGTGTTTAGGAAAATAACTGGGAAATGCTATTTTCACGGAGATCATGGCTATGACAATAAGATCAACAGTATGCAGGTAGAGGCAATAAACTGCTTGTAGTAGTAGATAGTAATCAGTAATTAGCATTGTTGGTATATATATCTTACAGTAACTTATCAATGTATATTTTAATTTTAAGCCACATTTCTTTAATCTTCTTATTGCTGTGGGTAGTGAGAAAATATTTAAAGATTCATTGCAGCTTATTTTATTCATCTTTGGATATACCAGGTGGTTTATACCAGTGGTCCCTAACCTTTGCAACTTGGCGGCCCGGCTTTCGGAGGGGAGAGAGGAACAGGGCTGTGCAAGCAGCGAGTCTTTGTGCGCGCGCGCATACACACACACACACAGACACACACACACACACACACACAGTTCCCCTCACGCAAGAGAGAAGAGAAGCCTTTGAGGCAAGGTCTCGGCTACTTCAGGCTTCTCTGTGCCAAAAGCGTTTGCAAAGGGACAGAAGGCCAGAAGTAGCGCGAGATCGCTCCCCCAAAGCCTTTCGTCCATTTGGCACAGAGGAGGAGCCTTTTGGGGTGCGATCTCCTGCTCCTTCAGACTCACCAAAGCTGCCCGATGCTCCAAAAGCGGATCGGGTGTCCTGCACAGGCAGCCTCTATGAATCAGCAAAGCTGAGCAGGGTGTACTTGTCCCACTCAACCTCTGCTCTCAGCGCTCTGCTTTTGGAGCATCAGGAGCAGGTGGCTTGGAAGTGCATCTCCTCTCCCATAAAAGGGAAGCTTTTGGGGTGCCACTCGTGCAAATGGGGCTCCAAGCACCGGCCCTGCCACTCTCGCAAATGGGGCTGCGTGCATGCATGTGTGTACCCTGGCCCGCCCTCACGCAGCCCGGTTGCAAATAGGCCATGACCTAGTAGTTGGCCAGGGCCCACAGGCTGGGGACCCCTGGTTTGCATTGAAATATTTTAGGATGAAACCAGAATAAAATGTCAACAGGAAAAAAAAAAAACTCAGAACAAAGCAAAATACCAAGATCAAAAGCAAGACCAAACAGAAGATAATTATTTGTAGGTCAAGGTTGAACCGTGGAGTTTTGGTCCTCTCTGAGCTTGGTTGTTTTCTTGAAGATGTTTCATTACCAAACTAGGTAGCATCATCAGTGCACCTATGGTGTTGCCTAGTTTGTAATGGAACAGCTGCAAGAAAACAACCAAGCTCAGAGAGCACCAAGGACCCCACAGGAAGACCACAATTTATATTTCAAAAGAACTAAAATAAATTCTGTTTGCTATCTTGGCACAAAATTGGGAACAGTGAGGTGCTTTAGCTAATCTTATAAAAAAAGAGTCAAAAAGCATGTTTTGGACATATAAAAAAGGCTGTTCAGGGTGGCTGTTTTTAACATAAGAAAAGAAAAGAGCTAATCCCTGATGGTTCTTTACTTTATTTTTGAGCTTTATTTTATTTCAGCAACAGAAAAGCTCACGTGGCAGTTGACAGCATTAATATTACTGTCTTTCTCTTTTAGACAGTCTTTCTAGGCTATGGGCCTTCATTTAAATACAAGACAAAAGTACCTCCATTTGAGAATATTGAACTGTACAACCTTATGTGCGGTAAGTAGTTTTGCATTTTTTTAAAAAAGAAAAAGTTGCATTTGAAAAGCAAATGAATAGCATATTTGATCTCTTTTCTCCACTTTCATTTTGGCTAGGATCTTATGATTCACTTATTTTGCTTCTGTAGCTAGCTATCTAATTATCTAATAGACGGACGAAACCCTAAATTTATTTTCTGTATATGTAATCTTTGTTTTAGTGACCATAATTATGAGCGGCAACTCAGTTGTTAAGTGAAGCAATCGCTAAGTAAAACTGACTATGCTGATGATCTTACTAGTAGACCATCCTACTGCTTCAAAACGCTGCCCTGTACCAGAAAGACTTATTGGACCAACTCATTTACATAAAATTTAAATTCTGTGTAAGGATTCAGATTTGAGTTGTGTTGGGTGGGCAAGATTGCCTATCCTCACTTCATATTCTTGTGTTAGTGTTTACACATACATAAAAGTATATTCTTTAAGAGTCTTCCGTATTCTCCAGAAATGTTACTAGCATCATGATCAAATGTTGTATTATCATGTGGAGATTAGCAGGATGGGCGATAACAAGAAAAGACTCCAAGCAGAGCCTATATGACTAGATTCTGTCAGTTCTCACAGGCTGAGTTCATATATAGCACATTCTGACTTCTTCAAACGTGGTTTGTTTAAATAAAACTATTCACATGTTGCAGTAAGGCATTAGTTTTTTAAATAAATCATACAGTTTAGGTTCTTACAGGGGAAAAAGAAATAAAAAACATGAAGACCTATTATACTGTATTATTCCAACATTTAGTAATATAAATAAGTGTGAACTTGAATCCAGTACTGGAAGCCTGGTTTAGCTGCCATGTCATGAAGGAAATTTTTCTGCCTTCCAGCTACAAAATAACTCTAGTAAAGTTTCTTAGCCACTGTCTAAAGGAAATCAGTGAGTGGCACCATGGCCTAGTGGTGAAGACGTTCTCCTCCTATTCGGAAGGTTGAGAGTTCAATGCTAGGTAGCGGCAAATATTTCTCTCCTGGGGCGCAAAGAGAAAATATCTGCTGCAAACTCCAGGTAGGCATCAGGATGGGTATTTGGTTGGTAAATGCTCACTTCCATCCAGTCGCCCCTAATTCTACCCTGAATTAAGGGATTACCAGGTCGTAAAAAGGGATTCTAAAGGAAATCAGTGTACATTTACCTATGCAGTTCAGAAGAGAAACTGCCTGCCTCTGTTATGTCGTTATTGTAATTCCAGTTTAGAGATTTGGAAATACAGCTGTCAACGCTGTTAACATCTGATGTTTTTGCTTTGATAACAGATGGAAATGTAGCCATCTTTTACCTTTTGCTTTCAGAGTTAGATGATGCTGGGAGGGGGGGGATGTGAACGAGAGTCCAGCTAGACATAACAACACTAAACCTAGCGTGAGAAACAAGGTTATTGTAACCAGAGCTGATAAGGAATTGGTGGGCTGGAGAACTGGAGAAGAAGCCCGCGCTTCAAGCTAATTGGGGAATGTGATTTATGACTGTTAATTGGAGGAGGGAATTGTGCTTTGATACTATGTGTTCAGTGGAGGGGAATTCAGTTTTTGGCTTCAATTATGCAGTGCCGATATTATGCTACTCAAAATAAAGATTCTTTAAGGTAAACAATACCTTGAAGTTCTTTTGAAGAGTTTCATCTGTCGGAAGCATGACAGCAGCAGTGAATTATCCAGCAGGACCTGATTCAAACTTAGTTGATTACAACCATATTCCCATGCTATTTTTAATCCTGTTCCAGATCTCCTTGGTTTGAAGCCTGCTCCCAATAATGGGACACATGGAAGCTTAAATCATCTCCTCCGGAGCAGTATCTACAGGCCCATCATGCCTGACGAAATAGCAAGGCCACTCCATCCAGTAGCTACAACTCCTTCATCTGACTATGATCTGGGATGCAGTTGTGATGATAAGGTAAACTCATGACTTTCGTTGGAACTGGGAAACTCATAAGGTGATTGTTTCTAAATCTGCTAGAAAGAAGTGAATTATATCTATCTAGAGCAGTGTTTCTCAACCTTAGCAACTTTAAGACGTCTGGACAGCAACTCCCAGAATTGGAGAAAAAAAATCCATCTTTCCTTGTTTAAAGAAAGAATTAAGCACCATTTAAAAACAATACCAAATCCAAAGCTGGCCGCTGAATGGATGTTTCTTAAGAGCTCATTATCATTGATTTTATGGTCAATATATTCTCATCCTTGCAGACATTTCATTATCAAATTAAGTAACATCATCAGTGCTAGAAGGGAGTGGGGTTTGCTATCTTTTCATATATACGTGGCTTGCCCTGTTTAATCTTGGTGGAGTGTGCTAGGTCAGGGGTCTTCAAACTTGGCCCTTTTATGACTTGTGGACTTCAACTCCCAGAATTCCTCAGCCAGCATGCCTGGCCGAGGTATTCTGGGAGTTGAAGTCCACAAGTCATAAAGGGGCCAAGTTTGAAGACCCCTGTTCTAAGTGATTCTTTGATTAGGCTTTTGTTTACTGTTAAGTTGTTTGTCTGAGTTGGTAGTTCCTTGATTGAGATATTGTTTACATCTTGATTGTTGCTTTGGTATTAATCCTGGCATTAATCTCTACTTATCTGGGTGTTGATTGCTTGAGGGGAGGTGTTTTGGTCTTTTTTATTCTTTTTTCATTTTTTTATTGTCTCTTTTGAAGGGCATGTAGATATTGATCTCTGCCTAGGGGTGCTATGGGCTGAATGAATGAACAGAGTCTGACTGTGCTGTGCAGTAAGCTACAGTGAAAATAAATAGATGTTGTATTCCCAAGGTAAATGAGGTAGCCGGTCTAGTGTCAGTATCCATCATATGATGTCAGCATGCTGTGGATTTCCACCTGCCAATTCTGGCATAAGCTATATTAAATGATGTACTTATCTGAGCAGGGCGCTCAGCGGTTAAAGATGCTGAACTTGTCAGCTGGAAAGCTGACAGCCCGGGTTTGAGACCCAAGCTACACACAATGGGGTGAGCTCCCATTCCTTGTTTGAGCTCCTGCCCACCTAGCAGCTCAGAAGCATGCAAATGCGAGTAGATAAACAGGTACCACTTTGATGGGAAAATAACATCATTCCATATGCTGGCCACATGACCATGGAAAATGTCTTTGGACAACATTGGCTTCCTTAGGGAAGAAACAGAGATGAGTACCATGCCCTAGAGCAGTGGTTCTCAACCTTTTTAATGCCGTGACCCCCAACCGGTCGTAAGTCGAGGACTACTCAACCGGTCATAAGTCAAGGACTACTCAACTGGTGCAGCACCGTTTGCAGAATGGGACTTTTGACAGGCTCAGCAGGGCAGAGACAGCCTGGACAATTCCTATTGACTTTTGAAAGCCAATAGAATTAGACTCTGTTCAAGAGAGTCTATTCTATTGGCTTTCAAAAGCCAATAGAATAAAAGGGAGTAGCACAGCTAAGGAAAAGGGGGAAAAAATGGCGGGCTGCGTTGTTTGGTAACCCCTGTGAAATGGTCGTTCGACCCCAAATGGGGTCCCGACCCACAGGTTGAGAACCACTGCCCTAGAGACAGACAAGACTGGCAAGGAAACCTTTATCTTTACTTACCTGAGCTTATATAGTTGGATTTATTTATTTATTTATTCTATTTCTATAGCCGCCCATCTCAACAAGTGACTCTGGATGGAGAATGTTGGTAAACCTTCCCCAAACCCATTGAACCCACACTTCCTTGGAGAGGTTGTGTGAAATAGCTTGAATCCCACTCTGAGTACAGGGACCAAGTGATCCTGAAAACCCATTTTGATCTGACTGATTGCAGAAGTTATGCATTAACTGGTAGAGCTTGCCCTTCAGTTAGGAAAAGTTAGCAGTAACTCTTTTAATAAGACCAGATTGGCTTTATAGCAAAATGATCAGAGATAGAAATAAGATAATCTTTTCTTGTGTGTGTTTTTGTTTCAAATAGAATAGGTTGGATGAACTGAGTCGCCGTCCTTATACCAAAGGAACAGAAGGTAAGACTTCAATAGAAAATCCAATAAAAAAACCGATTATTGCCAATCATATTACTGGTCTGTGGGCCTCTCTCCATAATTGTGCATTCTAAATCATAATATCAATCTGATTATTTTTTTTAAAAAAAATTGTGCATTCCATCGGTATGATAAGGTTTTAACAGATTTGGCAGCTAACCTTTGATGTACGCAACTGCAAAAGCAATTTGATGGTTTTCAACAACGTACGCAAATACATTTAAATCAATGAATTGCTTTTGCAAGTTAATTCGATAATAAACTAACTCCTCTTTTTAACCAGCTGTTCTAACTGTACTTACCTAGACATGATGTCTGTGAGCTCTTTTTCACCCTGTCTTCCCATCTCTTGTTGAATTAGCTCAAAATCCACTTGGTGCAAATTCAGTGAGAGATCCACTATGCAGTCTTTATATTAAAGCTGGGCCTAAATTAAGATGTTATAATTTAAGATATTATTCAACAGCGAGAACCTACACAAGAGGAGAAGGCTTTTATACCAACGACCCTGAGAATGTATTACCTGAGGATGGATGCGTCCCGCCACCAGGTAATCTTACTTGACTTGGCTTCTTTTTACCTAATACAATATCTTAAATTATCTCTTGCTTCGTTAATCTAAAGACTGCCTAGTTGATCTTTCTTTTATTTTCCATTTATCAAGGATCCTGTATCCCATTCTGAAGAAAAGCAGGTTTGGATTGTCCGAGTTCAAAATTGTGGAAATAGAAAATGTGCTTGGTTCTTCTTCCCAACAAGTTTTGGTGGATTGTGTCAGCAGTTCTGGGTGTGATAAGACCTATTACTATCAGTCAATAAGAACCAAGAACAACACATGGAGTTACTTCTGAGTAGTTTCTCTATATTGTTGTTCGCCTACAGACAGAATCTTGACAGACTAAAACAACTATCTGCATAACTATAGCTAGATTCTGCAAACTGCTAGGGAGGGACCTAGCCCTACCTATCAGACATTCAAGGTCCATGCCCCTCCCTCCTCAATCTCCAAACTATGTTCCACCACAGTTTCACATGTTTGCAGACTATTTATTTATTTATTTATTTATGAGACTTATATACTGCTTTAAGTGCAAGCACTCTCTAAGTGGTGTACACCAGTAAGCAATGTATATATATTTTACATTGCCCCCAACAATCTGGGTCCTCATTTTACCTACCCCGGAAGGATGGAAGGCTGAGTCAACCTTGAGCCGGTGAGATTTGAACCGCTGACCTGCTGAACACAGTCAGCTAAAGTGGCCTGCAGTACTGCACTCTAACTGCTGCGCCGCCTCGGCTCTTGCCAAGGTGACCTGTTTCATAGATAGCTCAAACACCAATTACTTTGGTCTCCCCCTTTTTGTATTTTTGCATTGATTGATTCCATTTTATTTATATACCACTGATATCCACATTTATTCATGGCAGTTAACATTAATTAAAAAGTCAAACAGAGCAATACTATGCTTGATGGTATTCCCTGACAAAAGAATTCTTGGAAACTTTAATAAAAGTCATCTCTATATAAATGTTAGATACACCTTTTTCCCTTATGGTCAGCTTCCCTGCTTCTGTCATTTCCTTAATGTTGATAATGTTATATAGATTTGGAAACAAGTTATTTTTTATATTCTGTCACTAAGGGTTGACTCTAATTCTTCCTCATAATTTATAGACTAATGGTTACAGATCTCAACTGCAGAAGACTAGACAACCACTAGGTGGAACCAAAGAGACTCTTTACATCTCTTTGTCACCATCTAGTGGTTATGTAAATTTTGGCTGCACACAATATTCCTACTCTAGTAATGAATCTGCACTTGCTGTTGAATAACATACAAAAAATTAAATTTGATTTTAAAGGTAATTTAGTGAAAGCATGTCATCGGACAGATGGAGACTAAAGACTTCCCCACTCATTCTTATCTTCTGTATCAGTTCTCCATATTATTGCATTAAATCTCCTTTGTGGTACAATATGGCTGTGTGCAGGGAAAGAACACACTGACCAGTTTTTTATTGTAGAGTTTTGTAAAACGGCTTTGATAAAATTGTGTATTGAAACTTCATTGTTCCTCTCCTATTATCTTTCATTTACAGAGAAGCATCTCCTTTATGGTCGTCCAGCAGTTCTTTTTCGTACAAAGTATAGTCTCTTGCATCATCATGACTTTGAAAGTGGCTACAGTGAAACATTTCAGATGCCTCTCTGGACATCTTACACTATTTCAAAACAGGTCAGTAAGGTTGCCTGTTCTCTGTTTCAGTGGCAGGGGTGGGGAGAGGAGGTGTTGGTAGCATCCTCAGCTTATCCAGCCTCTGTTCAGCGCAGTCATCTTTCATTGTATATAGTTTGTAACGTGTACATTTGAGGAATGAGGAAGAGAGTTGAACTAATAATTGTTAAGATGATAGACTAGGACTGGGAAGACCCTGGTCCAAGTCCATCTTGAGCTACAGAAGCTCACTAGGTTGCTTGGAACCAATCACTCTGCTTCACAAAGGGATTGTCTTGGGTGTATTCATATTCAAAAACTAAAACACAGATCACCAAGACTGAAGAATTTATTTAAAAACTTAGCTTTCGTCAGCGTCTGCTGACATCGTCAGAGTTCTAGCCAGGATTGAGAATCACGTTTGTATAGTCTCTTTTGGTTCTCAGTTTGGCCAGTTTCCCAATGTCTGGCATGTTTAAGCATTGCTTGCCCATATCTATCTAAAATAGTCTTGAAGATACGAGCAGGGCGTGAGGAGAGGAGCAGAGCGCCGAAATTCAAACAGCTGTCAACGAGTGCGACGGAAACAACAATAGAGCAATTAACTATGGGAGGGCGAGAGCCGAACAGACCGGTAACACATTTGTTAGCCAAATGATTGGCGTTACAGAGATTATAAAAACGTGATTCTCAATCCTGGCTAGAATTCTGATGATGTCAGCAGACGCTGACGAAAGCTAAGTTTTTAAATAAATTCTTCAGTCTCGGTGATTTGTGTTTTAGTTTTTGAATATACTTCAATTCAGTTCAATCTGTTATGATCACAGATCGGAATAAAAATTAAAACAAAATAAAATAGAACAGAATAAGGCATAGTAGTGCATTGCAAATAATGGTGGACTCATGGATGGACGGTCAAAGTCTGCCTAATTTACAGGCAGCATAACAGAATTTAGCTACGTTCAGAGAACTGTATCATGCTGATCTGATAGTAACATGAGTACACAGAAGAGATCAGAATTTCCTTGCTATTTTGTCAGCTAAGGAGTTATAAGTTGAGTTTGTAATTCCTTATAGAAGGTGCAATGTAACAGGATATGAGCCATGGTTTCAATGGCCCCTTCACCACAGGTAGTCCTTGCTTACCAACTGTCTTGTTTAGTGACCACTCAAAGTTACAATGATTGAAAAAGTATACCCCAGCTTTTCAACCAATCCTCACACTTAACAACTGTCACATCTTGCAGTCATGTGATCACCATTTGTGACCTTCACCAAATCTGCTTCCAACAAGCAGGTTGAATCTAGAATGTGGAAGTAAAATCGCAGGTGTAGTCACAAGATATCTCTCTTAACTACTGCAGTGATTCACCTAATGACGTAGGCAGAAGAGAAGTTGTAAGCTTGATAGTTGGTCACATGATTTTTTACCTAGTGACCATTGTGCTTAGTGATGGACTTCCCAGTCCCAATTGTGACTGTTTAGGGAAGACTACCTGTATATAATGCAAGTATATAGAATATGAATACCAAAAGAAATGCATTTGTTTCCAATGTCTATTTTCTTCTTCTTTTGATGCAGGTAGAGGCACCTGGTATGCCAGACCAGGTGATCAGTTGTGTAAGACCTGATTTGCGCATTTCTCCAAGCAATAGTCAGAGTTGTACTGCATACAGAGTGGATAGACAAATGTCTTACGGATTCCTTTTTCCTCCCCGTAAGCAGATGTGGGACACCTGTCCATTTTTATATTTCTGGGGTTGGCATAAAAATCAAGATAAAGATAAATATCAAATTGGGAGCCAAGCAGCCAACTCGGAGAACAAACCTCTGCCTAAATGTACAACCCGAGCTACGAATATTCTCCACAATGTCTAAAAATCAAGCTGCCAGTGCAAAATAGATGTTGAACTGGTTGCACTGGTTTTGAGACTTGGAGAGGAATTCTGCTAATTCCTCAGCCATGCTGGCTGAGGAATTCTGGGAGTTGAAGTCCACAAGTCATAAAAGGGCCAAGTTTGAAGACCCCTGCTTTACATGAACCCTGAAGTTTACCAGTATAATTAATTCTGGCATGCCATAAAAACATCTTATTTTATTTTTAATTTTTAGAACTCAGTTCCTCGGTAGAAACAAAATATGATGCTTTCCTGATAACGAATGTCATTCCCATGTATCCTGCTTTCAAAAGTAAGTACATGGTTTTTGAATCTTTGTGTCTTTGAGGTAGAAGGATGCACAAATGTTAGGAAATAAATAAAAACAGTTTTACAATTTGCTTTGGAGAAGCCAAGTACTTGCTTTACATCTTGCTGAGAGTTGAATTAGATGATTTTCAAGCAACAATGGATTCACAGAATGGGGTAGTCATCCAAACAGCTACTTCTATTAGAATATTTTAAAAGGCTAGGTGGGGAGAAATTTGGAGGGAGGGCTTTTTAGCTTGGTCAGAAACATATAGTATTCTAGACGCTTTAGTTTCAAGCTCTTTAGGGATTTAAAAGTCATAATCAGCATCTTGAATTGCACATATGGGCAAAGTGGTAAAACTTGTGCAGCTGGAATAATAGTACCATTTGATGCACTGGTTTTTTAATCATATTAGTTAAAATATAATTACTTGGAACTATGTAGAACTTATGAAGTCTTCCCCAAAACAGCCCCATGTAGAACAGTTTCCAGTAATCTAAACCAAGAGATGAGAGATAGTTTAAAATAGTGGTTAAGGTGTCAGGCTAGAAACTGAAAATCTTGAATTCTAGTCCCATCTTAGGCACAAAGCCAGCTGGGTGTCCTTGGGCCAGTCACTTCCTCTCAGCCCTAGGAAAGAGCCAATGGCAAATCACTTCCAAAGAAACTTGCCAAGAAAACTGCAGGGATTTGTCCAGGCGGTTCTCTGAAAAATAGCTAGTTGGGCCTGAAGGTTAAGGCAGCAGGCTAGAAAGTAGGAGACTCTGAGTTCAAGTCCCCACTTAGCCATGAAAGCCAGCTTTGGGCCAGTCATTCTCTTTCACCTTAATCCACCTCATAGGGTTGTTGTTGGGAGGAAAATAGGAGGAGGAAGGAGTAGGGTGTTTGTTAGCCACCTTCAGTTATTTGTATAAACATTAAAGGCGAAATATAATAAATACATAAATTGAACACATTGGAGGGGGAAAAAACCCTCAAGAGATATTAAGGGCACAGAGTCACTCTGGAAGATCAGAGAGCTCCAGAAATGGTCACAGTTGATGCTTGTTGCTTGTATCCAGTCTTCAGTAACAAATTGAATGCCTTCAATTATACTGGTACTAAGTCATTGTGAAGTTCCTTAAAATATATAGGGAGGATGAAAGGCATGATCTACCTAACTTCAATGACTGAAAGTGCAATCACACTTTCCTAGCGCCACAAGGAAAACAATACCAGTTGAGCTCATTTTCTTTTGTAGGAGAAGAACAATGTGATATTTGTCCAATCTGTTCCAGCCACTGAAGGGCACTTAGTTCTTTGTTCATGGCCCTCTGTTTGTTGGCAAAGGAAGGGAGTAAATCCCAGTCTTTAATATTAGGCCTATTTTAGAATATATAGCTAATATTCTGTGGAACTGACACAATCAGTAAAAATATTTGTTTCTCCATCTTAGAATCCTACTAACATTCAGTTTAGGTAATCATAGGAGCAGAAGAATCACTACTACTTTATCAAATGCCAAAATTGCTTATCTAAAGAATGCTCAGGGAGATGTAGATCTACATAACTTTCGTGATATTCCAGTTCATGTATGTTAGAATATGGTGCATAAGGTCCAGATTATTTTCAAAGGCACCGCATGTTTCCTTCCATAACTGAATAATAATAATAATAATAATAATAATAATAATATGGGCAGGGTAAAGTTCATCCAGCATTTGTGCTCAGTTCAATGTATCTTCATTACTTGATATTTTTGCCTAAAGCGAAGATCAATATTTTTATGGTTTAGAAGGTGCCCAAAGGATTAAACAGATGGCCCAATTCACGGCACCCGTGATAAATAAGTGGGTTTTGGGTTGCAGTTTGGGCATTAGGTCTCTAAAAGGTTCGCCATCACTGTTATAAGCCAAGGACTGCTTGTAAAGTCCCATGATGACTTGCTTTACAAATGCACCAATTTACAGTAGAAATTCTGTTCCCAAATGTGCTCCTAAATCGAGGACTATCTGTAACAGACGTTGTCCTTCATTCTATCCCAAAAGTGCTTTCCAAAAGGCAGCTGGACTTTCTTGGTTTTTTCCCTTGAAGAAACTTCTCATCCCAGAAGCTTCTTCAGTTCTTCTTTTTTCAAGGAAAAAAAAAAAAAACAAGAAAGCCCAGTTGCCTTTTGAAAAGCACCTTTGGGGCAACCATGACCGTGACAATCTCCATAGACCTTGAGAATCTCCTTCATTCTATCTTTAACAGAAGCTTGAATCCTCGTTTTAATTCTAGCTACTTGATGGAGTGCCACTCCATAGCAGTGGTGGTGAACCTGTGGCACTCAGAGCCCTCTCTGTTGGCACGCGCACCATCACCACCAGCAGGTCCATCAGGCTGCCACCTGGAGCAGGAGCCCTACCCAGCACAAAGGAGGCGAAGCGGCCAACTAGCAAGCTTGAGTAGAGGTGGTAGAGCAGAGGTCACCAACCATTGTTGGACTGGAAGAAAAGGGAGGGGGAAGCACTTTACACTGCAAATGGGATGGGGCTAGTTCCTGCATGATACTCACTAGCCCTGCCCCGTTCTTGCATGATGCAGCGCCTTGTATCTGCACCCTGCAGTGTGGCGGCAGCCATTTTTATGTCCCCAGTTTTTGCATGCCAGACGTGGTACTCAGAGGCGCCTCCCTGCCCCCCCTGAGGGCACCACAATGCTGATGCAGCCCTGGCACTTTGCGATAAATAAATGGTTGTGGTTTGGGCAGTCGATCTCTAAAAGGTTTGCCATCACTGGACTATAGCTTCTGTCCATCCTGTGAGTGCAGACATGAAAGGCATGCTCTGGGTCCCATTGATTAAACAGCGTCATCTGATAGGACTCAGGAGGTGGACTTCTTCTGTCTGAATGTCTCTCCTCTGGGAAAGCATCCCCCCCCACCCCAAGATCCATGTGATCCCTTCCCTAGGCTTGTGGAAATGGTCTTGAAAGCATGGTGGCTTGCTAGGTGGGTGGCAGGCCTTTTGAGGACTAGGTATATTAGGATGAATGTTTATTGGCCTTCCAGATGTTCTTTTTGGTTTTCCTTTACATTTTTTTTATTGTTGTCAGCTACCTGGCATTGTTATGGTGTTGGGGGCACAGGTGGGTTTATAAATCTAATGAAATAAAAGTGTGGGTTTATTACTAGTATTTCTATGTCCTTCTGCAGAACATCTCTGAGCGGAAAGGTGAGGACTTTACCCAGAGAATAGCGTTTTTTGCTATGATTTAATGCTTTCTCTGGTAGTCTTTAGGATAATCTTGCCTGCTTTTTTTTGTACATCCACAGAGGTCTGGAATTATTTCCAGCGGGTTTTGGTGAAGAGATACGCTATTGAACGTAACGGAGTCAACGTGATTAGTGGACCAATCTTCGACTATGACTTTGATGGTTTGCATGACACCCCAGACAAAATCAAACTGTAAGATCCACTACTATTAAACAAACTTACACAAAACAAAAATGAACAATCAGTGAAGAGAAAGGAAAATAGATATATAAGCAACAGCAAACACAGAAGGACAAGAAGCAATGGATGGAAACTAATCAAGGAGAGAAGCAGTTTAGAATTAAGGAGAAGTCTCCTGACAGTTAGGACAATTAACTAGTGGAATGGCTTGCCTTCAGAAATTGTGGATGTGCCAAACACTGGATGGTTTTAAGAATGATTGGACAACCATTTGTCTGAAATGGTATAGCGTTTCCTGCCTGAGCAGGGGGTTGGACTAGATGACCTCCAAGGTCCTTCCAACTCTGTTATTCTATTAGAAAGAGAGAAATAAAGCAAAGTACCTGTAATTAGAACTACATTCCAAGTTTCACCTGATTGTTATTCATTTATTTATTTATTAAGAAAATATATATAGCCATCCGCCTCACACATGGATGATTCTGAGTGGCTTACAAAATTTTTAAAATCCACCCTCTAGCAATCATTAAAATCTCCCACCCCACCTCCCATGGCAGCAACAACACAATCAAATCAGTCATTTTGTGAATTTAGAGAAGAAAAATAAAATCTCAAATTGATCCAGCCTGTTGAAGATCTATTTTGTCGAAAGAGAGAAATAATGTGACATTTTCTGATTAAGAGTGCGTATACGTTTCTCAAAATTGGCTAAATCAGGCATCTCTGAAAACCAGTTTTTTATATCTGGGATTATTGGCATTGGAAACAAGTTTCCAACAACAACCCAGATCACTCATTTTATCTGGCCCAACATTGTCAGAACTAGCTGGCAACTCCTCTCCGTGACTTGTAATCCATGCTAGAAAAGGTTTGGCTGGGAGATTGTGATTTATTTATTTTTTTGTATCTGTTCCTAAACCCTGTGATTTATCCAGCAACTTTATTTGGCTAAATTCACTTAAATCCTCAAACCAAGCCTTTGGGTGGAATTGATAAAGAATCCAAAATTACTCTGCTTTATTTACCTGAAAGGATATTTATTTTCTTACAACAGATGGCTGTTAATATTTTACTTTTTTCTTCTTGCAAAAGATTTAAAAAAAAACTTTATAGAGATTGAAGAATAATTCGTGCAGGGATGGGACTATTTTGTCCCTCTCGTTATGATCAGCTAGGTAAGGATTTTTTGTTGTTGTTCAAAAGGCAGTTGAAATAATTGATTTCAGGGGTGTCCCAAATTGACCACTTTAAAACTTGTGGACTTCAACTCCCACAAGTCTTAAAGTTGCTGAATTTGGACACCTCTGATTGATTTAAAACTAATAAATCAGTGGTTGATCATTTTCTCAGAATTTGTGCTGCCTTATCTCCCTTAAGACACATTTGTAAAAAGATGAAAAATCTACCTTCTAGGTATGTGGAAGGAAGTTCGATCCCGGTTCCAACTCACTACTACAGCATCATCACAAGTTGTTTAGACTTCACTCAGCCTGCTGACAAGTGTGATGGGCCTCTTTCAGTTTTGGCATATATTTTCCCGCATAGGCCTGACAATGATGAAAGCTGCAATGTAAGTTCCAAACTCATTTCTGTTGACTACCAACCGGAATTTTGGGCCAGATATGTGGATGCTCTTCCATAAATGTCCTTGATAACTGCAAAGATGCGAATCCCAGGCATATTTGTTCAATAACACAATCTTCGATCTCCGGGAGAGGTATAAACCAGTTGTTTACTGCTAAAAAGATATTTAAAAACAATTGCTGCCGGTGTGCTCTCTAACCGCTCCCTCCTACTCATTCTGGGAGTGGAGGGAAATCGGAGAAAAAAAGACTGACAGGAATGGATGACGGCAGGCAGGAACAGCGTGCAACAACGGGCCGGAAAAGAAGGGAGCCCTCATGGCAAGCCTTTTGGAACACTGGGTCTGAATGCACAGCCTAGAATGAGTAGGAGGAAGTGGTTAGAGAGCACACCGGCGGCAATGGTGCTGGGAGGGAGGAGATTGACAAGGATGGGAGAGGGGAAAAGTGTGGAATTGGAGTGCAAAAAAGAGAAGGCGGGGCAACCAAGGCAATTACAGTTAATCAGGAAGGATGGCCCTATCACACGGGCAATGAGTAAGCAGTTAGACCAGCAAGGCGTATAAAAAGAATCTCCCCACCCCCTGAGCCCCACTCTGAGGACGCTGGCAGGGGACCAGCAAAAGCTAAGTTGTTTCTTTTAACATTGTAAATAGTTGTTTTTATTGTTTTTAAATATCTTTTTAGCAATAAACAACTGGTTTATACGTCTCTTGCAGCTATCAAGGAGATATATTAATAAGAATAGTGAAAATAAAAATGTGATTCCTGGGTAAATCCATAGTCAATTACCAATAAAACGTGAACACCAGGAATATAATAAACTATAAAAGTTTAATACCATCACCGATCACCAAGCTTTCATCAGATACTTCTGACATTGTCAGGGTTAATTCTGGTCTGTGGGAGAGTGCCTTTATAGGTGAGCCGTCATTTGGAAGCCATAATTAAAAAGCAGTTAAATCAATTAGGACCTACGACAAGATCTAGGAGCCGTGTGCAAATGACGGCTCACCTATAAAGGCACTGCAGCCTGACGCTGTGGGTAGGGGGAGAAGAACGAAAGCACGGCTCGATTGCCTAGGCATACGGTGAAAGGGAGAGACATGGTGTTCTGCCTGGATCCTCTGCAGACAAGGAATACCCCCACCAACAATACAGCCTCCCCCCCCCGGGACGAACACTTTGAAGTCCCCCCAAAGACGAGCACAGGAGAGGAGAGTGAGAACGCGGGGAATCAGAATGCAAAGATTTGGAGACCTGGTGTCCGCCTGAATACCGTTCCTATCAGCAATAGGAAAGAACATGCGATAGGGAGGAGGGGGGATGATGAATTGAGAGACGGAGTAAGCACCCGATCACGCAGCAAACAAATGGAACGGTGGAGAACTGTCGACACGAAGATTGCCAGGACGGAGGAGGAGGGCATAGACCCCCAAATATGCAACACCCGTATGAAAGTTACTTATGACAGTGGAGGAGTGAGAAGAAAGGGTGTGGAGCAGGGATTGAGAAAAGCGTGTGTGTGGGGGAGCGTCAGTGAGCTCAGGGAAGCTTGTAACACTGATAGTGGAGAAACAGATGCCCCCAGGGTGGAAAATGAAAACAAAAAGGGGAGGAGGGTCAGTACTATGGAAGGAAATAAGGATAAAGGGGTGGTGGAGGAGATGAATGCCAGTAATGAGATAGTGGAAGGAACGATCCGGAAGAACCATAGAAGGGAGCATAAGGAGAGTAATAAAGAAACATCTGGAACACTAATTAACCGGCTGGGACCGGTGACGCGGTCCATGAGCCGGCTGCAGATGCCGGCAAAACCCATTTAAGTCATCATTGTTTACTGGCTCCTTAGCCCTGATGATGTTTGGAGTTTCCAAACGAAAGCTTGGCAGCTTTTAGTAAAGTATATTTTTATATTTATACTCTCCTGGTGTTCGTATTTTATTTGTACCATATATATATATATATATATATATATATATATATATATATATATATATATATATATATATATATATATATACACACACATACATACACATATATATACATATACATATATATATATACATATAGACCTATATATATATACCTATATATACCTATATATATATATATATATAGGTCTTTGGTTATTTGGGTTTTCTCTCCCGCGTAAAATTGGAAGTGTCTTGGCGACGTTTTGACAAAGTCCCATTCGTCATCTTCAGGCTGGTGTTTTCAGCTTCATGCTTCGTTTGTTTTGTATTTGTTTTCTGAGGTTTTTGCGGGTGTTTGTATGTAGGTCTTTGGTTATATTTATATAGCACATATACTAAAATTGGAACGATACAGAATATATATATATATATTTTTAAAAAGGGTCTTTTTCCTTCCAGAATTCTTCTGAAGATGAATCCCGGTGGGTTGAAGAGCTCCTGAAAATGCACACAGCGAGAGTGCGGGATATCGAACAACTTACCGGTTTAGATTTCTATCGGAAGAGCAGTCGAAGCTATTCAGAGATCCTTTCTTTAAAAACATACCTGCATACATTTGAAAGTGAAATTTAACTTTCTCTTAAAATTCAGCCCACCCATCCTCTCATGAAGTGCTGTATATTTTTATATTATATTTATTAATTTGAAACAGGACATTAAAATTATTAGTGTATTTCTAATCTTGCAACAAATCTTAAAAATATTAAATTGGTGGTCTGTTGTGTTTTGAATTTTTAATGTAAAACATATGTTTTGGGTGTTTTTTTTTTAAAGAGCTCTTGATGTGCAGCTTCTTAAGGAGTCTCTTAGTTCAAAGCTTCTTAAAATGATACAGAAGAATCACTTACTTAGGCTGAGGAAATGTAATTTTTATTGCATTCCCTTGTGCCGTGCTTTTTTTTTTAGTCCTGTATTGTGTATTATACATGTAAAATGACAATGATTGTTAACTATGTGATAGACATATTTAAGCTTCATAGAGAATAGAAATTTAAATATAATAAAACCACACATTTGGGGTTGTTTTATTTGGCGTTCCTTTCGCAATGGCAAATCATTCCCCCCCCCCCCCGTTTTCAGGTTGATCCTTTCTCTATACACAAACACGGTATAATTTACTGTGTGACCCTCAAATTATACTGGTTTTTTTTTAAAACCCAGGAGGCTGAATACATAACTGAGCCTGGAATTAGAGTTGTATGTCATGGTGGTTGTTAAGGAGTCACCACATGACCCGGTTCAATTTTATGACTCTTTTTGCAGTGGTCATTAAAAGAACCCATTATGCCCAATAGGTGTTTTTTTGCTGGAACTGGGAAGTAAATGCTGGATTCTATCAAGAAACCACTATAATTGCAGTCACTCCTTAACTTCTGATTTTGTTAAGTGAAATGGGTGGAGCCTGAGGATGAAGAAGACAGAGCTACAAGGCCTTAATCCAGGGGTCTTCAAACTTGGCCCTTTTGTGATTTGTGGACTTCAACTCCCAGAATTCCTCAGCTAGGCACACTAACTGAGGAATTCTGAGAGTTGAGGTCCACAAGTCATAAAAGGGCCAAGTCTGATCCTTCGGAATATTGCCGTCGCTCAAAAAAGCAATTTTTTTTTCTAACCAGGCAGTCTGACCTAGAAGGATTTGGCCTGTTTTGCATCATTCTGCCAATTGTGGTCCTTGGCATCCCCCCCCCCGATTTTTTAAAATTAACCCTGTGTTTCCAGATGTTTCCTCACCCGTTTGGCACATTGCATGAGCCAGATCTCGGATGGGCATGGTGAACTAGAGCAATTCAAGAATGCTCCCTCATGTGCAATGCTACAGCGGGTGCTTTTTATTAAAAAGTCTTAACATTGCCAAAGAAGTTTGGCAACTTGAAGTTGTATGAACATTTATTTCATAAGAAAGGAGTTGCAAGAATGTGGCAGTTGAGTTCATAAGAGGGAAACTGCCAAGAGTCTAATCCAGGGGTCTTCAAACTTGGCCCTTTTATGACTTGGGGACTTTAAATTCCAGAATTCCTCAGCCAGGCATGTTGGCTGAGGAATTCTGGGAATTGAAGTACACAAGTCATAAAAGGGCCAAGTTTGAAGACCCTTGGTCCAGCCTTACTAGGACTCGAATGGAGATGAAGTTCTGGGCAGTAAAGTAGGCTCCTTCTGAAAACTTTTCTGCTGAAGAGGCTCAGATTGATTTTTTAAAAAATACATATTTTAATAGGGTATTTTTAAGCAAAAGCTTTTCCCTCAGGTTGATCCCAAAACCTCTCTTTCGGGTGAGGAAGTGTGTGACCTGTTGCCCATCTTAATTCCAGATGATGGTTAATGGCAAATTCTAACTTCACTCCATCTTTCTTAGTCTTCATTTCCCAACAGACATGCAAAGTTTTGGAAATCTTTGACCCCACTGGGTCCATGTTTTGGGATACCAATAAATATCCTTCAGATTGTTTTGGCTGAAATCTTTTTGTACAAGATTAAGTTGTTTTTGGTTGGTCCTTTCCTCAACTGATTGGTACGTTGCCTGCTCAAGTTGGTAACTGGAGAATGATTAATTGTGTCTATGTTCCAATTATTGCTCATTATGGATGACTTCAAACAGTGTATTTAACCAGGACAACTCATGGCTAATAATTGCCTTCACATAACATGCACCCTTTTTGTGAAATAGCTTCTTGTGTAAATTCAGTCCATTTACTTGGTTAGTTAGTTGGGGGTTCAGTGTGTTATGCAGAGCCAGAAAATGGGTTAATTTGCTAAGAAAATTAAGGGCACGGTGTAAATATATTCTCTTTAGTGCCAGATTTAGTTAAAAAACATATTAATTCAATATGTAACATATTAAAAAAGGATTCAATATCCAGCACAAACTCTTTCTAATCTAGCTGTGTGTATATTGATGCAGAATTTTCCATAAATGTGTCAATAGCTTAAGCTATCCCACGCCAGTTTTAAAAGCCCTGTGAGTTTTTTTAAAAAAGGGAAAAGTTTTAATTAGCATTTGCATTTGTCAGCCTAAGTAGTGTTGACTAATAAATAAAATAATAAAGTTGTTTATTTTTGCTTTATCTTTAAGATCTAAAGAGGTATCGTGGCTGTTTTTGCAATTTTCTTCACAACAACCAATTAAGTTGAGTTGTCAGAGGGTACCTACGGTACTAATCTAGAGTCACCTAGTATATATCTATGGCTGAGAGTGGATTTGAATCCAGATTTTTCTGGCCCTTTCTATACTTACCCAGTCCTGCTATATTTACATTGGCCCTTTCCACTTACCCAAATATTCCATGGTAAGTCCTGATGGGGTGGGAGTCAGAATATAAAATGAGAGCAGACTCCACTCCTTTCTAGCACTAATGATGTTAGTTTGGTAATGAAACATCTGCAAGAAAAGAACCAAGCTCAGAGAGCACCAAGGATCCACAGTTCAATCCTGAGCTACAAATATTCTCTTCTATTGGTATTCTCACTATGCTGCCCGTCCTCCCCAGTTTTTGAGCATCCATACAAGCACCAGTTGTAGCTTACCCCATCTTCAAGGGCAGTCCCACATCTTTAATGCACTACAGTAGTCAGGTGTGCATGTCCTAAATGCATGAATAAATAGTTTATATATTCAGCTTGTTCTCCTACCTCCACTGAAATCTCTTGCCAGGCCTTGTCTTTCTTCAAATCTAAACCGAAACCTTAGCTTATGAAATTTAGAGTTGCAGAGTTGCAATTTTATTTCTTTGGAAAAGTTATAATAGTCCCAGCAATGGCTTCTTGAGAACATATGGCTCCTGCTTCTAGAGGCAGCATGGCCTATCCCTAATGAGAGAAGTCTGCCATTATATTATCAGCTTCTTCCATTATTTTATAGGTTGCTAGTGCAAATATTCTCAATTCCTGAGGAGGTCCAGTTTATTAAAGGAGATGACTTGGCTGGCCACTGTTCCAGAGAGGGTAATTCTCACAAACAAGACTGGAAGTGCTCACGGATGCCAGCAGCAGCTATGCTCCACTTTAAAGAAAGATTCCAGCTTTCAAAGCCCGTCTGTCTCTGCGTGTTCTTGGCACAGCCTCCAGTCGCTTGCTCACCCACTACCCTGTCTAAACCGGCTCTAAAAATAATGTTGATGGATTTTCCAGAAGCAGCCTGCCTAGGTCTGAAAACAGCTTTTGATCTTCAGAAGTTAAGTCTCCGGCTTTCCCTTCCCGGAACAGACATCAATTATGTGTCTTTTGTACATGGGCCATCTGGAAAAATAATGGGTAGGTTGCTGCAGTTTGGTTCGGCTGGCTCGACAATGGCTTTCTTCTTATTCACCTAACTGTTCACAGGTGGTATGTTGAATTTATTAATCGATCGTTCAGAAGAAGCTGAAGGCAGCGGGAAGAGAGGAAAGAAGTGGTACAGTGGGATTTAAGATGAAAGAGCTGCTGGGAGACTTCGGCAGAACTAGATTGCTGTTTCCATTTAGACAAAATGAGATAGTGAGGCCAGTTCTGGAGCGATTAATCTTCTTGAAACAGTCAGATAGATAGTTCCTTCCAATTTCTGCTGCATGAGTTTTCGGATACCAGGTTCCATATTTCATGGAATATATGGGACATTTGCCAATTAATCACTAAACAGGGTTGTTGTTTTTTTTTTTTTTGCTGTCTTACATATGTTTACAACCTGAAATCCTACATCACCTGCGTGCAGTGCTCAGGAACCTGCAAAAGTTGCTATCAAATTGTAATTTTTAATAGAAGAGAAGCTTCAGCTTTATTACAGAGCCCGCGTGCTTTGCAAATGACTTGGAAGAAGTGCTGTGGAAGGTCCATGAGCCGAACATCTTACTGTTGCTCATTAAAGCAGCCCAAACGTCTCCAGGCTTCTGTCTATAAAGAGACAGTGCTGCCTTAAGAACGCCACCCATTAAAGTTAATGCGACACTTAAAGCTGCTCGATCCTTGCTAAGGGTTAATAGTTGGGGAGAGATTCATGCTGAAGATATTGCCTACTTTTCTCCCCCTTTCTCCTGGAAACTCACAGTGTCACTCTTGTACTTGTTGGGATTAATTTAAATTAGGAAAGGACATCTTTCCCTTTGCATTATAATTGTCATGGTTTCGATAGATGAAACCCTTCAAAATAAGTTCAAGGCATTGTTTACCTTAAAGAATCTTTTTATTTGGGAAACATTTGGATTCAAAACCCTCTGAGATGCACTCAAGAGAGAAAACTAGAGAGCATAGGTAGTCCTTGACTTACGACTGGTGGCTTAGTGACTGTTCAAACTTATGACTACATCTCCATGGGTACTTAGGAGCCACTTCTGAAGTTCCAATACTTCCCTGAAGTCACATGACCACATTTCAAACACTCAGCAAGCACCTGCATTTATGGCCATTTGAAGGATCCCGTGATCATATAACTCTGTTTCGTGAGATTTATTTTACAAAAACCAGCATTTACTTCCATTTTTTGGCAAAAACTATAGGAAGCATTGGTTTGCTTAACCACCATGGCAAAAAGGGTCATAAAATGTGGGTGACCTGCTTTATGACCACCATGACTTATGACCATAACGGGCAGGCTCCATTATTGTTGTAAGTCAAGGACTACCTACATTCTGTAATCCTCTATAAAGGCTTCCCACTCACTGAATCTGAGCAGCATACTTTGCCACTGTTTCTAAACAAAAGTGTCCACTTAGATTCCCTTTGGCCACCTAACACCATCATAGCTATTGAGAATGATCCCGCCTTACCTACTTTTGCATCTCAAATCTACCCATGTGCAAATCTGTGGTCAGAAAAAGAAGTCTATGCACAGTCCTCTGCTAGTAAAAGACTGGTCAATCTTGCATTAAAGAAGAATAGCACTCTGCAACTACTACTCCTAATCTGCAACTGTATTTCTCAGTTTTGGCACAGGCAAATCTTGGCGAAAATCTGATTAGCCAAATACCTGGTTTGCATGTAGAGGGTCCCAGTTTCACTGAACAATCAGCAAAGAAAGTAACAGCAGTGTGTTCATAAAGGGAAGAAAAAAACAGAAAAGGACAATGAATGTGTTCCATGAGGTTGTGTGCTCATATCTGAAAAGGTAATCTCTTTGAGCTAACTACAGATTGACAACCAAGGTTGAATGCCTACTTAGGCTTTGTAACAGTTTTGTACAAACCTAAATGGTACACAGTGTTGAGTGCCTAAGAAGGACTAGGGTGACATGATAGTGGTGTTCCAATATCCGTAAAGAAGGGCGGCGGGGGGGTTTTAACTATTCTCCAAAGCGCCTGAAGGCAGGACAAGAAGCAACGGATGGAAACTAATCAAGAAGAGAAGCAACCTAGAACTAAGGAGGAATTTCCGGACAGAACAATTAATCAGTGGAACAACTTGCCCCCAGAAGTTGTGAATGCTCCAACACTGGAAGTTTTTAAGAGATTGGACAGCCATTTGTCTGAAATGGTGTTTCTTGCCTGAGCAGAGGGTTGGACTAGAAGACCTTCAAGGTCCCTTCCAACTCTCTTTTTCTGTTACTTCTCTCTAAGTAATCAGAGTAGGAACAACATAAGGCAGCCAAGAACAGTATCACTGAGTAAGAAAAACAGTCAACACAAGTGGGAATTTAGCAGGGTCGTTTGGTAAGAGTTTTCCCTGTACCTGGCTGACCTGAGACTGAGAGAAGAAAAATAAACAGAAGTCTTAATGATGGTACCTTAAGAAACAAGAGCTGAAAAGATAGGGCTCTGCAGAAGTGACCTGCAATGCTTGTGATGTGCTTGTGTTCCTTCTGCAGAACAACCTAACATATATTTGCAAGCAAATTCAAACGTTTAGAAAAAGTCAAAGATGGAACAATGAATAGCTACACTTAGCTGTTCTTGGACAGAGAAACATTCTGCCTTGCACATAAGATAGCTCCCCTATTTAAATCTATTTTATGAAACAAGCATCTAAAAAGAAAACATGAACAACAAAATTCAGTGGAACAAGAAGCTGTGAACATCAAGGAAACTATCTACATGTTCATAATCTTGGCTACAAAATCTTAACACAGCAGATTGCTTGTAGGATTCTAAGTGTCAAGTCTTCTATTTAAAATTAAAACCAAGACTGAAAAGAGAGAGCTGTTACAAAACCACTCAGTGCCTAAAATAAAAGTTCCTTTGGGCTAATCTTCTTTTCTCCTGGTCTGTAAAAACCATGACCAAAATCATGGGAGATTTACCTAGATTGTGGAGAGCAAATTCACTCACGCCTCCAAAAGTTATCAGTTTATCATTTTCACTTTTGTCCTTGGTCAGGCTGGCTGGAGTAAATCTCAAAATAACTAGAGGGGTTGCATTCAGTTGGAGCAACCTGGTGAGATCTATTTCTAAACTTCCCACCCCAGCATTAAGCAGGACTGACTGGATAGAGAGGATTACTGATTTGAAAGAGAGGTAAAAGAGGCCATCTGTGTTAAAATTCAACAGCCCTCTCTCAACAGAGGGGGAGGATCAGGACACCAAATATCTCTTATTTACAACACAGTCCTTTCAGCAGTTCCAAGAAGGTTCCTCACGCATTTGCACTATTCAGGGGATCCTGAGGGCACACATAACCCCCAAGTGGTCTCATCTCAGAGAGAGCGCTAGCAAGCAGATGATTTCAAAAAAATATAATCCTTCTATCCACTAACCATCCAGTCCAAAATGAAAAAGCTTCTTAGATGAGAAGCGAAATGTCTTCCACAAGAAAAAAACATAGCCCAGTTGCCTTTTGAAAAAGCATCTTTGAGACAACCACGGCCTGGATGAGTGAGAATCTCCATAGACAGGTCTGACCCTACTTTTCAAATCTGGGTAAGATCTGTCAGGTGCTGCCATCTGCTGAGATAAAGGAGACTTCCCAGCTATAAATGCTAGCATGGATTAGATCAGGGGTAGGCAACCTTGGCTCTTTTGTGACTCGTGGACTTCAACTCCCAGAATTCCTGAGTCAGCATGGCTCAGCATAGAAACCTCTCTGTTTCCCCTCAGCATGGCTGGCTCAGGAATTCTGGGAGTTGAAGTCCACGAGTCATAAACGAGCCAAAGTTGCCTACGCCTGGATTAGATGAAATGGCTCATAATGACTCAAGAACTAGTGGGAAAGATGCCAAAGCTCAAAATACCACCCAAGACTCATTAAAAATGGACCTTTCCTTTTGTGATTAAAAGGAAAATTATTCAACATTCGGCAAGTAATCATGTTAAATTGATTCTTTATGGAGTTTCTGATCAGGCTCTGCCTGCTTCTTTATTTTGGCTCAGTCCATTTGGTGTACGATTAAAGGATGTCACTTAAAGGACAAGGATTATGCAGCAGGCACATATTTGTTAAAGGTCTTTGGTCCAATTTCTCCCTGCCTTTCCTTGATTGTCTCTAGATCAAGGATTAGCAACAAAGCAGGTACATCACCAGTAGATGGCAGTCACTCTCCTCCAAAATAAAAAAAGCAAAATTTGTGTACATACAGTACATACATACAGTTTTCAAAAATATGCTATTTTTCATCTAAATATGAAATTGTGGGATTTGGCTGCATATAACTCGCAGGATTTGGAACATTTTAAATTTTTTTGCAAGGTTGCATAATCACACTTGCCACTATCAGAAAAGTTTGTAGACCATTAGGCAGAATATACTGATTTAATAACACAATTACAGGATTCATTCCTAACTTTATTTGCATCATACAATCCAAAATAAAATATTGTCTCAACCTGTTTTATCGTGCAAGAATGGTGGAACTTTCTCCTGCTGGTTGCTTTATATCTTATGTCGAGAGATTTTCTTTAGTAATACCAACATTCACCCGGGGAGTGGGGGAGGGGTATGTATGCTTTCTATTTACATTTGCTGTTTCTATAAAGCACAGGCTTTTTTGAGTTATTTATGGTGTTTGCTTTCTTTCTTAGCACAAAAGCCAGCTGGTCTGTGATATACTGTACACAAATTGAATACTAAGTCTGACTGTAGAAAATTGAGTGTTGACATTCCAAAACAAGCGAAATATCTTGGATGGGGTCTATAAAATTTAAACTTCCAATGACCTCATGGTGGTCTCCATATTTACAGCTCTATCTTTATATTTGTACAAGGCAAGGTCAGTATGTTGTCTCTGTAGTGTCTTTAAAAGATGTATAATTCAGTGCAGTATTTAAAGAAAACTTAGAACCAAAGTGCTGGAAGGACTTTGTAGAACTTCTAGTCCAATCTCATGCCCAAGGCAGGAGACCTTACACCATACTGGACAAATAGATGTCCAATCCTTTTTTGAAAACCTCCAGTGATGGAGCACCTCAACTCTGGGAGGCAAGCTGTTCCATTTGTTAATTGCTTTCACTGCCAGGAAATTTCTCCTTAATTCCAGGTAGGATCTCTTTTTAATGGACTTCCACCCATTACTTCTTGTCCTGCTCTCAGGTGCTTTGGAGAATAAGTTAACTTCTTCTCTGTAACTACCCCATAAATACTGGAAGAATTTAACTAATCAGGATAGTTAAAGTCCTCCATTACTACAGTGGTGTGTTTGCTGCACAGTGTCACTAATTATTTCCTCTGCTTGATGTGACCTATAGTATACACATATATCAATGGCATTTCTTTTTTCCTTTAATATTCACCCAAACAAATTCAAGAGGGCTTTCATCCTGGGCATTATGTATTGCTGTTGAGCAATTTATATCCCTCTAGAGAAAAAATATTGGTGAATTCTGAGCAGGAATTAAATAAATGTATAGGATTACCCACCACAGGCCTTAAAGTCTACAAGTGGTGATAAAATCATTCCCAGTTGCTGAAGACATGTCCCCCAACAGGGATGTTGCCATATTTGTGCATTTGGGGGGGGGGGGGAAGTCCACGCATCTGTAGGCACCAGGTTGGGGAGGCCACCTTTGGGACCATTTGCCCAAATCAAGACTTAGCATCTGCTGGAGCCAAGATGAGACAAAAGAAGAAAACACAAACTTCAGGAAAAGATTGGCAAAAGAAGGGACAAAAATAGAGAAGAATATTTTAATTTGTGGAAGAAAAACGAGGAAAGGATTTTGCACTCAGTAGGAATTGTTTTTGTGGCTGACACAAATAACACTTTTCTTGCTGGTAGAGAGGATTTCAACTCTTGATGTGCCCATTCCTCACTGTAATAAATATCAAGACAGTAAATCATACTAGAGTACAAGCATCTTGCTCATCAAGTTCAAACAATTGCTCCAGGAAAACAACGCAGAAATGTGTCTTACGTCAAACTATCACAGGTGGCCAAGAAAGAAGAAGCTGCTAAGAGATAAAAGTTCTATGCACCCCAAGTGACAATATTTTAATGGCGCAACAACATTTGAAGCAAGCAGGGTTTCAAAAGAAATTCCACAGGAACTGAAATGCCTTATCTAGAAATCAAATGATAGACAGGATCGGGAATCAAAGCATCTGATCCTTCCTCCCTCCCCCAAAAGAGAAGATACATGTTACTAAAGCATCAGAAGACCAGTCTGGTGATTTCTGAATGGCTCATTCAACTGAGCTTTCGAACAAAAGCGTTGCTATTCTGAGGACAGTTCTTGTGACACACACAACTAGTAATGGACATCAGAGGATGCTGGATAGTGTTGCCTTGAGGACAACGGAATTCCACCTGGATTGTTTTTGTCGTGTGTGGAGTGCAGCATCGTCCATCGTTGCAGATGCCACAGTAACGGGGTTTATACATATGGATGCTGGTGCAGTTCTGGTACTTCAGATGGACAGCTGTGGGAGGCTTTATGGTTCGGAGACATTTTTTCCCCTTCTACGAGAAACCGCAGAACATGAATTAGATGGACAACCACATTCAAGTTAATGCAACATAGCCATGATACATTAGGATGGAACGGGCAGCATTTCAATGGCTGGAGGTCACTTGTAATGCTTTTTGGGATGTGATGAAAATCTGAGTGTGTGGGCAAGGATGTAAAATAAAAGATCTATGCAGAAAAGTTTTGCATAGAAAACCTTCCCCTTGGGCAAGTCTGGCAATTTCTTATATTGAAACTGCAGAAAAAGGTGAGGAATTAGTGGAAAACATCCCTTTTCTTATGTACATGTTTCTTTCTTTTTTTACAAATAGGTGCCTACAGGCTGTAAATCGTGAGTTAAGATGAACCTTATTTCTTATGCTTCACTTTAAGGAAGAGGTTCTCAACCTGTGGGTCGGGACCCCATTTGGGGTCGAACGACCATTTCACGGGGGTCGCCAAACAACGCAGTCCACCATTTTTTTCCCCTTTTCCTTAGCTGTGCTACTCCCTTTTATTCTATTGGCTTTTGAAAGCCAATAGAATAGACTCTCTTGAATAGAGTCTAATTCTATTGGCTTTCAAAAGCCAATAGGAATTGTCCAGGCTGTCTCTGCCCTGCTGAGCCCGCCAAAAGTCCCATTCTGCAAACGGTGCTGCAAGTTGTCTGCAGCGAAGGCGAGCTGTCTGGAAGTTTCCACCCCTCCCTGCTGAGCAACTACTAAAAATGTAAGTAAAAGAGGGCCAGGGGTGGGAGGCCGGTGGGCGCAGGGAGGGTTGCTGGCACGCATGGGGCCCGGCGGGTGCCTTACCTCCCTTGGGCTGGGCCAGCTGGTGGCCCAGCTGGTGGTCGGCCTGCGCCGTCTCTGCCACTTGCCAGTTACGCTTTGGCCAGCGCAGGGGACGGCACCACGCATGCGCTGCGCTCCCAGGCAGGGAAAGTCCTCGACTTATGACTGGTTGGATAATCCTCGACTTACGACCGGTTGGGTAGTCCTCGACTTACGACAGGTTGGGGGTCGCGACATTAAAAAGGTTGAGAACCACTGCTTTAAGGTATCACCATAGCATGTTTGTCTCAAATTGCTTTTCATGATATCAACATAGCATGGTCTAAGATCCTTGATCACAAGGCTAGCCACTTGGTGTAGGGAGTTAGTCAGGCATATTTGATAGAGAAGACTTTGGAGCTTGCACAAAAACTTTTTCTGAATTTTGCAAAAATGTTGCAAAATCATCTTTCAAGTGAATCCCCAAGCAGAGGCTTCACATAGCCCTAGCAATTTTCATATGCTTTCTAACCTCAAAAAGGATAGGTCTCAGATCCAGGAAGCCCAGAGAAACACTTGGTTTAAATTTCAAAACTGGCAGGATTAGATGATGGCGACAGGATAAAAAAAACTACTTAATTTTGCCTGTTACATAGAAATATGCAAAACAGAGATGCTCATCATGGCAACCATGGTTATTGCAAGGAAAACAGGCAGCTTTCTTTGAGCCTGTCAACATTTAACTTTGGGGCACTACGTTCCTCTCTCTGGGGCAAAAACAACAACAACACACAACTCCAACTGTTCTGCCATAAAAGGGAATAAATGTTCATTAGTGCCCCAAACATCTCTTCCTTTCTTAGAGAAAACATTCCCAGAGTACATTAGGAAGTCTGAACATAAAGTTTGACACGGCTCAAAATCTTGAAAATATCCTTGGAGGCAGATCCCAACTATTAACCACATTAGCATATTATTTGTTAAAGAAACATGGAAACTTTGGGTATAGGTGGATTCAACTCTCTAAACTGAAAGTTAAAAGATGGCCATATTATTTTATGGTTTGCACTTCCAGTAGTACATCTATTGCTACTTCAGTGTCAAGAGCAAATTTAATGAAAAGAAGGACAAGGGGTAACATGTTAGCAGTGTTCCAGTATCTAAGGGGCTGCCACAAATAAGAGGGGTCAACCTATTCTCCAAAGTACCTGAAGGCAGGACAAGAAGCAATGGAGGGAAACTAATCAAACTAATCAATCAACCTAGAACTAAGGAGAAATTTCCTGAGAGTGAGAATAATTAGACAGTGGAACGGCTTGTCTCCAGAAGTTGTTGGTGCTCCATCACTGGAGGTTTTTAAGAAGAGACTGGACAACCATTTATTTGAAATGGTATAGGATTTCCTGGTTGAGCAGGGGGTTGGACTAGAAGACCTCCAAGATCCCTTCCAACTCTGTTATTCTATTATTCCATCTAAGAGACTGCCTAGATGGCCTTCTTTGGCCATCTAGTAGCACTCTAAGTTACTATTTGGACCCCGCTGTTACTGATGGTAGCACCTACATAAAGCCATATTAGATGGCTGCCAAAGAGATTGGTCACAAGCATAAATTCTCATAAGGCTATTTTGTACTGGGCTCTCGCTAAGTGAATCTTGCTCAGCTTGTATTTTCTGGATTTACTGGGACTGCAATTCTCATAATTCCTCTCATAATTCAAAAAATCCCAGGAACTGCATCCGTTATTTCATTGCACTCTTTTAAAACCCTTCTGAGACTCTGGATTAAGGCTCTGGATTGAGGTGGTGGGATGCAGTTCCTGAGATTTTTTAAGTATTATGTTAACTAGGAATTATGAGAATTGCAGTCTTTGCTAGTCTGCTGATAAGTTCATGCAGCATCAGATTCCATATTGCACTCATAATATATGTGAGTTCTGGCTAAAGGAATGCTCTTTGTTGTCCACATTGAATCAGTTTTGAATAGAATTAGAGAATTAACAAATGGCTTGAGATCATAGTCCATCTTTTGAGACATTGGCTAGTTCTGCAACAGCCCCAATGCTTTCATTACACTTGTGTTTAATGTGTGATGGAAGACTATCAAAACCTATACTGTCACAATGAAAACTCTATTTCGGAAACCATTTCTGGAAATAAATGCATACTATATGACCTGCTGGATCAGGCTGAGATACATCTAGTCCATGAGTCTCCAAACATGGCAACTTTAGACTTGTGGACTTCAACTCCAAGAATTCTTCAGCCAGCCATGTTATGTGAGAAATTCTGGGAGTTGAAGTCCACAAGTCTGAAAGTTTGGAAACCCCTGATCTAGTCCACCATGGTATTTCCCACAGTGGCCCAACCCAAGACACCCAGGACTCTCACAAGTAGATTGGAAGAAATAACTGAAATAAAGAACTTGACAACCAACTCAACCTTTATCTCCAAGCCAAGATTCTATGTGCTCTTCTCTTTCAAATTAGTATAGGTTACCACTATCATGTGAATGAATTGCAAGCCATACCTTATCAGGTAGTGGACTCTTTTCACAGGGGCGCACTTCACACAGCCTCATCTCTTTCACCATCTCACACATGGGGTTCTTGTTGGTGACTCTGGTGGAGGCTCCCATGCCGCAGCTGGTAGAACATGCACTCCATTCCGTTGTCTGCTCAATGCAGTTAGAACTTGAGTCAGAACCTTCAGCCCCCAAGGTAGCTTCCTGTCTGAATCCTGAAGGCAAAATTACCACAATGAATTGCTCAGTTGCCCACACAATAAAAGATTAAGATATTAGCCCCAAACTGGAAAGGATAAACTTGGCTATCAGTGCATGGCTCAAATCGTGTCCTGCAGGCTACTAAAGACTTTTTTTAAATGACCTTGTAATCCCTTTGATTGGGGTGGAGTTGGGATGACTGAATGGAGCTGAGTGTTTACAGGCTGGATACCCTTCCTGACACCTATGCGGAGTTCAGAGCAGATATTTTCTCTTCGCGCTCTAATAGAGAAACATCTGTTGCTGCCTAGGATTGAACACTCAATCTCCTGTGTGGAGGCTACTAAAGAATGTAAACTGTTGCCAAAAAAACTCCAAACAAATTCAGCCACACCAAGAAACCTGTTACACTGGTCCTACTGCACATTCATTGCATTATAGTTTCAGTCTATTTCTGGCTCTTATTTAATCTGCTGTTGCTTATAAAGTTCTAGGTTATCTAAAATGCCATCTGCTTCCACATGGCCCAGTCCATAACTACTATATGCAGGTACTCCTTGACTTATGACAACAGTTGGGAACAGAACTTCCATCACTAAGCAATGTGTGGTCATTAAGCGTGTCATGCCCAAGGCTATGACCTTTTTGCCATTGTTAAGCAAATCCAGTCTTCCCCTCAACTGATTTTGTCAGAAGCTCCCATGGAAGTTTGCAAATGGTGATCATGTGGCTCCAGGATGCTGCAACTGTCACAGCTATGTGCTGGTTGTCAGAGGCTAAATTTTGAGCGTGTACATGCTGCAACAGTTGTAATTGTGAAGGCCAGTCATAAGTCACTTTTTCAGTGCGGTTGTAACTTCAAACAGCCCCTGAACAAATAGTCCTAAGTTGAGAACTACCAGTAATTCACCATCAAAAGACATTAGACGGATGAAGGTTATGAAATAAGAATTTACTGCAGAGAAATTAATTTGATGTTGAATCTGATAACAGCTGCCAGGTTATTAGTAGGGCAATACTGGAAGAAGGATTGCTTGCCTACTATAGAAGAATGGACGCTTAAAGTGTCAAATTTAGCAGAAATGGCTAAGATTTCTGCTTACTTGAAGGATCACTCACAAGAAAGATACATTTCGGTTTGGAGAAGATGGATAAATTATATTCAGAATAAATATGGGACTAAAAAGTTTCATTTAGCCTATGAGTGAATTTTAGAGTATTATTATGATATTATTATTATTTTTAGTATTAGTATTATTTAACAATTTGGAGATTGTATTGTTCAATAATTAGGATATCAACTTGTTTAAGTTTTGTTATTATTATGTTTATTTTCAATTTGTTTATATTTAAGTTAAAGGGGAGTTAAAGCGCATTATGGACTTGGTTATTTATATAGTTGGTTAATGTTAGTTAGATTATGATTATCATATTTGTAACCCTGTACTCAGCTCTGGGAAGTGGGGAGGGAGAGGGGGGGTTTAGGGGGTTGATTTTGGTTTATATTGTAATTTTTATAAAACTTTTTAATAAAAAAAAGAATTTACTGCAGAGAAAAATCTAGCTAGGGAAATAGAAACATTACATTTAGTTCCCAGCTGTTATGTTATTCCTCTTCTGAAGATTCATTGATGTAAGGATTGACAACTAATTTTTCTTTCTCAAGGTATTCATTGTCTTCTTTTTTGTACACCACATTGATTTAATATTTGTTTGGTATGCTGCCTTGGGTAGCTTATGATCAAGAGGAAGTCTATAAATATTTTCCTATGAGTAAACTAATTTTCAAAAATGATTTTCAAAAATATAGATATGTATTTTGTAAGATAGCAAAGATCACCTTGACTGTGAGGCCCCAAATCTACATCCAAGAGAGATTTGTAGTCAGTCAATCTAATACAGACACTGAGGTTTGAAGGGCTGCATTTCTCTAACAGGCTAAACTTAATTTTATATACAGATAGTCCTCGAATTATGACCACAGTGGATCCCAAAATTTCTATTGCTCAGCCAGACAGTTGTGAAGAGAATTTTGCCCCATTTTATGACCTTTTTTACCACAGCTGTTAAGTGAATCACTGCAATTATTAAGTTAGTAACACCGTTTTTAAGTGAATCTGGTTTCCCCATTGACTTTGCTTGTCAGAAGGTGGCAAAAGAGGATCCCATTTGACCCCGGGACACTGCAACCGTCATAACTATGAGTCAATTGCTACACATCTGAATTTTGACCGCATGACCGTGGGGGATGCTGCAACAAGTGTGAAAAATGGCCATAAGTCACATTTTTCAGTGCCGTTGTAACTTCAAATGGTCAGTAAATGAACTGTTGTAATTCGAGGACTACCTGTATAACATTTGCAACTTACCAAATGTTGCAGCAATTTATAATTAATACCAGCAATTAAAGAAAAAAATCGAAAATAATAAAAGCACCCATGAAAACATCATGTAAAATATACAGGACAAAATAAGCAGGAATCTAAGAAGATAAAAGCAGCAATTAAAATTCATAGCAGTATTGTTATTCAAAGTTTTCATCTTAAGGAAGGCCTTATGTGGTAGAATGCAACAGCTAGACCAGGGGTAGCAACCTTGGCTCTTTTATGACTCGTGGACTTCAACTCCCAGAATTCCTGAGCCAGCCATGCTGAGGGGAAAGAGAGAGGTTTCCAAGCTGAGCCATGCTGGCTCAGGAATTCTGGGAGTTGAAGTCCACAAGTCATAAAAGAGCCAAGGTTGCCAATCCCTGAGCTAGACTGTTCCTGGTCACTGTTTTCTTAGCTAGGAAAATAAATATTTTTAGATTTTAGGGCTATGACTGGACTTCAAAGATTTGAGCACCGTTCTCAGAGTCCCTTCAAAATCGATCACTAAATTGCAATTTTTCAATCCACAGAAAGAGAAATTTGGGGGGAAGCGACTACGCTGAACATAACTCTAAAACAATTCTCAATTACATTTCAATCCAATGATTGACCCCATTCATTATTCAGCTGTGGCCCAAGGCTTGTCCCTCCAGGATCCACAGATTCACTGTGCTGGTTTTCAAGTTTCTACTCACAACCTGAAGAATTAAAAACTTGAAGTACCTTCAAGGCACCACTTTTCATGGTCCATATCTTCTGTTCGTTCAATGTAATTGTTAAAAGATACCCAGTAACCTTAAGATCAGACTTTCTCAGTGGGGTTCTCTGGAATTCTAAGGTTCTACAAAAGGTTGCTCGGGAGACATTTTGACTGAAAAAAAGAAATCTTTGTAAACTTTGCTTGCCAAAATGGTGGGAATTTTGATGCACGATGACTAAGTCGCCAGCCTACTGTTTTGCTGTTGCTGTAAACATTGTAAAACATGGATTGTGTAGGCTTGAAGAGAATCGTATGGTGGAGCTTTTATGCATTTTTTTTTTTGCAATTTTTATGCAGGAGTTCACTGGTGGTCACAGTAATTGAAAACACCCCACAAGATATTCACAGTATAAAATTAGTGAAATCTCCCTCCCTATGAATTGCATACATGAAGGCATGACATAATATCCCCCTTCCTTAAGAGCTTAATGGAAGGTGGACAGCATATAATATTCTGACACAATGTCTCCCATGCTTATAAATTACCTTTGTGATTGAGCATCTTGATGCTATTCAATGTTTTATGCCAATAAAGGAGAATACAGGTAATCCGTGAATTGACACAAGCCAACTGACAAAAAGGGCCCTGCAGGTTGTGTGAAGGTAGTTATTAGCCCTGAACTGCGCTGTGTTAAACACAGGTAATCCTCCACAGTTCATTTAGTGACCAATGTTACAACGGCACTGAAAAAAGTGACTTATGACCATTTTTCACACTTAACAACTATTGCAGCATCTCCATGGTCACATGATTTATATTCAGATGCTTGACAACTGACTCACATTTATGACGGTTGCAGTGTCCCGGGGTCATGTGATCACCTTTAGCAACTCTTCTGACAAAGCAAAGTTAATGGGGAAACCAGATTCACTTAACAACTACATTACTAACTTAAGAACTGCAGCGATTCACTTAACAAATGTGGTGAGAAAAGTCGTAAAATGGGGCAAAACTCACTTAACGTTTTTCACTTAGCAACATAGATTTTGGACTCAATTGTAGTTTTTTTTAGGGAGATTTCAGAAGTGATTTGCCATTACCTTTTTTCTAGGGCTGAGAGGGAGGGACTGGCCCCTAATCATCCAGATGATTTCATACTTACGGTGACATGGTCTCCCAGTTTTTAGCCTAGTGCCCTAATCACTACACCAAACTAGCTCTAATTCCAATTCCTTATTACAGGACATTGGAGGGGAGAAGAAAGCTTTTAAGTTAAGGCTTCCCACAATACTAGAGGTTTTTAACAGTATTACGCTGTATTTAACATGAACCTTATGCTATAAGATTTAAACTTGAAGTTTATGAGTGGCAGAATCTGGTGGCATGGAACCAAAAATGAATAGTGGTCTTGGATGACTAATTCTGCATGGCTTTTAAGCATTATATTTAACCTTAGGGCCATCTTAAGGATTGAACGTTTGATTTAAGGTTGTTTTGCCACACTGAGAAGGAAGCCAACATAAGCAAGATTTTTTTCAGTCTCCCATACCATCATAGTGCGTTTTCCAATACAGTCCAGAGAGGCACAACCGTTTTAAGGCTGAAGGCCTTACTTGGTCCTTGAGTAACGTGCCAGGAAGTATACTCTAAAAATAATTTAAGGCCAGGACAAAGAAATGTGAGTTAGCAGAAGGAAAGAAAAACACTTAATGTGATTGGGCATTAAATGCAAGTAATAGGGAACAATGTCCTTTTCAATTAACTTAAAAAAATACAGATAGTCCTTGACTTACAATTACAACTGAGCCCAAAATTTCTATTGCTAAGTGAGTTTTGCCCTATTTTACGATCTTTCTTGCCGCAGTTCTTAAGTGAACCATTGCAGTTGTTATATTAGTAACACAGTTGTTAAGTGAATCTGGCTTCCCCATCGACTTTGCCAGTCGTAAGGTCGCAAAAGGGGATCCCATGACCCCAGGACACTTTAACTGTCATAAATATAAGCCAGTTGCCAAATGTCTGAATTATGATCACTTGACTATGGGGATGCTGCACTGGTCATGTGAAAAACGGTCATAAGTCACTTTTTTCCATTGCTGTTGTAATTTCAAATGGTCACTAAATAAACTGTTGTAAAAGTAGAAGACTACCTGTAATTAGAAAGAAATTTTGAAGGGCTCCTAAGGGCTTCCACACCCATTCTACTCTTTTAGATCAACTTCCTGCAAGGAATTAAGCTCTCCTACTCTTAATTTTTTGGATGAAAAAAAGGAGATGGGCAATACATGAAACAAAATCAAATGCACCGAGACAGAAGCGTATGTTCTTATCTGCCATAAATTCCCAAGAATTGGCCCCCTCCGTGACCGTCATTGATAAATGGTAATTGATCCTGAAGAGTCACAAGAGCACAGTAGATGCTTCCGAAGAAGCAAAGGGACCACTCTAAGGCCTTTTACACACCTGCCATTGCAAAGTCTTCAGCATCATCTTTTTTAGGGTCACATGACCATTGTTCACAGCATTCCTTGGGAACTTCAACTTTTCTTGGGAAGGGGCATTCAGGACCGGGAAGCAACAAATCAACATTGCAGAGGGGCACACAGCTGATCTGTCCATCCCTGCAGGTACAGTGGTATTTACAGTTGGGCTGGAAGGTCTCACCGCTTCGATAAATAATCCCATCAAAAACACAGTTGTCTCCTTCAAGGTCTGAAGCAGAAGAGAGAAAAAAAATCAAGCTTTGTGTGAATCTAGCTTGTTGGAATACTCAGGTCATATCTATACCAACAGCAAGGATGAAAACCAATATGAAGAAGATCTTTCTGCTCTCCTGCAATAACAAATTCTAAAATAGCATGTGAATACCATTATCACATGTTCATTTTTAGAAAAAAAAAATATGGCAGGGGTTTTAGACTAATGCTGTACTGACACTCTAGAATTAAACTAGGTTCTTAGTGACATCACTATATTCATAAAGATAAGAGTTTCCCTCATGCCAACTACATTTAATTTAAATTCAGGGTAAATATAAATGATGTCAAATCAAAAGTAGCTTTTGGGCTAAGTCAACTAATAGGTTATGCAGAAATATCTTTAAGGAATATGTTGATTAAATCTAGCAAAAAGATCAAGCCAGCTTCAAGCTGAATTCAATTCTTAGTGACTTTATGCACATCCATAAAACTTTCTTGGTATCATGGGGTCATTGCCTTCTTGATTGTTATTTGGATTTTTCAATCTGCCCCAGAATTCACTGAGAGTCTCCCATCCAAAGGGTAACCAGACCTTGCCCTACTTAACAACTCTGCCCTGTCAAACTGCTTTATGTGGTTATTTTTTTTTAAAAGTCAGAATCACCTAATTAGGCAAGATAGCATAAGCAACCATCCACCAAAACACAGAACAACCCAAGATAAAATGGCTAAATTCTACTGAATTAACTCACATTTATAGCCAAACCAAAATGTGGTTTAATTCAAATTCACGGTATACCATTAACATGAATGCATATAGTTTTTCTCTGCTGTTACATTAAAAATTACAATGGGGAGGTGCAGAAACTGAGAATTTCAGTTCAGCCAAGAACCATCTATCCTAGTTACAAGTCTTTCAAGCAGCAGTAGCTGCTATGGCAGCGTTTCTCACCTTGGCAAACTGACAGGTGCCTGGACTTCAATTTCCAAAATTCTCAATGCTGACTGGGGACTTCTGGGAGTTGGAGTTCAAACACCTTAAAGCTGCCAAGATTGAGAAACAGTGAAGAAGAACAAGCCACATTTTGTCTTTAAGGAATGGGGATCACAGGTGGCATAAGCATAAGGAGTGGGGAAGCTCCAGTGCTTCCTTGGGTAATCTTGTGGATCTCAGACTCCTTTTCGCCCAAACTGGGCCCCTTCCTTCTATTTCTTCCTTCTTATTTTATTTCCCAAGTCATTTGGAGGATGTCTATGGTGATTCTCAGTCATCCAGGTCATGGTTGTCCCAAAGGTGCTTTTTCAAAAGGCAACTGGACTTTCTTGTTTTTCTTTGAAGACATTTTGCTTCTCATCCAAGAAGCTTCTTCAGCTCTGACTGGATGATGGGGAATGGGAGGATTTATATTCCTTGCTGGTCATTTGCATTCTTTTAGAGAGTCATTGAGGCCGCTTGGAGGTTTGTGTCATCAGGGTCACCTGAGCGGTGCAACTGGGTGTGGAGCCTTCTTGGAACTGCTGAGCAAAGGTGGCTCCACACCCATTTGCACTACTCAGGTGACCCTGAGGACACAGACAAATGTCCAAATGGCCTCAACAACTCTCTTAAAGAATGCAAATGACCAGCTGTCTGCAAGGAGTACAAATCCTTCCATTCCCCACCATCCAGTCAGAGCTGAATGAGCTTGGATGAGAAGCAACTTCTTAAAAAAAAAAAGTTGCCTCTTGAAAAAGCATCTCTGGGACAGTCGTGTAGAGAAGCCCATCTATGAACGTGACCCAGTTCCTCTCCATCCTGACAGCGCCTCGGGGTAGGAGCGACAGGAAAATCCCGCCCAAGAGGCCTAAAGTGCCTGCGGGAAAGCGCCATTGATTTACCCCTACAGACGCCGAGGCCGGCCTCCCTTCCTGCCTCGCGGTCGCAAAACAGGCCGGCGCTCTCATCGCAGGGCGTCGCTTCGGAGCAGTTCTCCCCGCGCTGCCGGGCGCAGGTCAGACAACAGGAGCAGCCGTCCAACACCGGCGGCACGCCGGGCGTGCAGGCGGGCGGTTCGGTGGGGCACTCGCACGGCAGGCGGCACCGGGCGCGGACCTGCAAAGAGCAAAAGCGAGAGGCGGCGTCAGCCGAGCCCCCTTTCCCCAGCCGCGCCGCTCCGACGCGCAAAGGCAAACCTCGGCCAGGCTCCACGGGAGGAGTAGAAGGAGGAAGAAGGGGAGGAGGAGGAAGGTGCTCGGCGCCTGGGACCCGGAGAGGCAGCCCAGCCGCATCTTGGGCAGGCGCTCCCGCCCAGAATCGTCCCGCGCTTTCCCCATCGGGCTGGATGCGCCTCGCCAAGCGCACACCGGCCCCCAGGAGCTCGTTTATACCCGGCGCCTCCACGGTTCGCCTCCGCCGATGGGAGGCGCAGCGGACGTAGCGGAGCCAATCGCAGCTCGCGGTGTCGTATTCAGCGCCGGGCTTGACAGGCGGTGGCGAAGGAAGTTGTTTGGAGTAATCCCCAAGGGGCTTTTTCGCGAGGCAACTGGACTTTCTTGTTTTTCTTTGAAGAATTTTCTTCTTCAGAGCTGAAGAAGCTCCTTGGGTGAGAAGCGAAACGTCTTCAAAGAAAAACAAGAAAGTCCAGTTGCCTCGCGAAAAAAAAAGCACCTTTGGGGCAACCATGACCTGGATGACTGAGAATTTCCATAGACATCAACTTGGATGGGTAGACATTTTTGGAAAGAGACAATCTCTCAGATAAGCTGCTCCCAAGTCATGTAGGACTTTAAAGGTGACAATTGGCACCTTGAATTGCTCCTGGAAACACCTACAAGTTGGACATGATCACCTCATATTTATTTGTTTAGCTGACACAGCAATAAACCTCTGCAAAGGGAGGCAAGCAGGAGAGTTCTGTATCAACTGGCACAATGTGAACAGCCGAGGACCTTGTTACCATCTGTTTTAACAATAGAGTTGTGTGAATCTAGCCAATTATGGGTTATTCAACTAATCCTAGTTAAGGCAGCAATAATGTGCAAAATGTGAATTTGTTTTTGTCTAGGTTTGCACAACATGCTGGAATAAAATATGATTGCTTGGTGACTATCCTGCAAACCAACACAATTGGATTTATTCAGTTAGCCATGGATCTATTATAAATAAACTAGCTGATTGCATGATTACTGTTTGTGACTTAGCTCAGTGTAGGAAACAAGCCTCCCTCCCTCATTTTAGTTTCTATCGTGAGAACATTGGAGATAAGGTGGATGACGCTATACTCTTTCAACAGAATTTGCTAGGCATTCCAACAGAATTTCAATTGCCAATTCATTTCCCCCTTTTCATCTAGCATAGTTAAAATGATCTTGCAAGAATTTATGATGATTACAAACACCAGAAAAACAAATATCCTTTCCTTCAATAGCTGCTTTCTTCTTGTAATAAAAAATGGCACCAGGACCAACTGATGAGGACTTGCAAAATGCTTTTCATTTCCTGCTCTTCTTTAAAGATTCCTGTTGATGGAGAAAAAAGTAGAAACTCTGGAGTGGTTGATGAGATTCCTTGTAAATTCAAGGCATACCATGACTTGGAAGCATACCATGAACATTCAGAAGTGAATAGCTACATTCTTAAACTGTTTCCATCCGTAACTTGAGAACTTGTGGAGATGAATCAGGCTGGGCCAAAAGATTAGAGAGTAAAATACGTGTATCCTGCTTTAGGAAATTTCTTGAACTCTGAAATGTATTGCTTTGTGCCCAAAATAAATATTTCAGCTCTTTTCAAATGTTCTTCTTCTGGAGAAGAAATGAACTGAGGCTAGGTCTTCTAAATTGGCCCCGTGGTGCAGCTGGAACAATCTGGAGCTGAACACTCTTAAAACTATAGAGATGATAGTAGATTTTAGGAGAAGCTCTCCTATTCTACCACCTCTTACAATATTAAGTGACACAGTATCAACAGTAGAGACCTTCAAGTTTTTAGGTTCTATTATCTCCAAAGACTTGAAATGGACACCTAACATTAGAACCATCATTAAAAAGGCACAAGAAAGAATGTTCTTCCTGCGTCAACTCAGAAAACTCAGATTGCCCAAGGATCTGCTGATACAGTTCTACAGAGCAGTTATTGAATTTGTCATGTATACCTCAATAATTGTCTGGTTTGCACAGCAACCAAACAGGTCAGGTACAGATTTCAATGGATAGTTAGGACTGCAGAAAAAACAATCTCAACCAGCCTGCCTTCCACTGAGGATTTATATACTGCACAAACCAGAAAGAGAGCTAAGAAAATATCTACAGACCCCTCACATCCTGGACATAAACCAGAAAGTACTAAAGATAAAATTTAAAGGAGACAAAACAGAACAAAACAAAACATAACACACATACAAACAATATATATATACTCCTCCTTTTTTTACAGCAATTACATAACAGTAGTCTAATATTTACATTTCCCCCTTATTCTTCTTTAGAATGAGACAATATTATATCTTATAAGTGAATGGAGCAAAATAATTTAGCACTGGAGGGTATTTAGGAACAATGGACACACAAGTTAATTTTAAGAATGTTTGTCATTATAGGCAACTGTGTTTAAAAGATGATATAGGAGAGGAAAATGTTCTATCTGACAATAATGAGACTGATTTGGAAGTGGATTTAAAAAAGATATGGAAAAATATATTACATAGGATATACAAATGAAACTGGAGAATATCTTAAGCAAGGGGTAATCTGGATAACATTTCCATATTGGATTTTACAAAGGAGCCTTGTTAAGGTTTTAAAGAAAAGACAAAGAAAAATGGAAAAGAAATCAAATTCCAGGACATTATTTGAAGGTATTAAACATCAAGATTGTTAAAAGTAAAGGGAGGAATATAAAGTTGGTTTATTTGATCAAGATTAAAATAGTTATGTTATTATCTTTGGTAACCCATAATGGACCCTTAATGGATTTCCACTGTTGAACCATTTTGCTAGGGAATGTTGGGATGTGACCTTGATATGCTTCAGAGACACAAATAAGATGGGCAGTTTTGGAACAGGAGTTGCCCACCTTGTTCTGAAGTTTGGAGAGATTTTTGTTGTTGGAAATCCTTGACAGTGGTCATCTTACCACTCTTTCCCCTCTCCAGATGCCTCTACACTGGTCAAGAAACCTTGGAATTTTCTGGAGGGGGAACAGATAGGAGTGTTTGGTAGTGGAAAAGGTGGATGCTTTATCATTTGGAAAAAATGTGCCCCAAATTTGGTTCAGTTAAATGTGAAATTTAAGATACCCCATCTCTGGGTCTCCAACGTTTAATAAAAATCACTATGATTTGCAAAAAGTCATCCTGGCTCTCTTCTATGTTGTTTTTATCTAACCCTTGTTGACTGTAAATCAAGACTATGTGAACAACCACATTTGGGCAGAAATACTAAGGAAAGGGAGGAATGGAAAGGCAGGCAAACATAGTCTTGGCTTTGATAGGAACAAAGGACTACTTCTGGAATGTGTTATTATGCCAAGACCAACAGTCTTCTGTAAAAATAGCTCTGGACTCATGTAGATCTTCACTGCATATTTCACTTAAACTTCACATGCTTAATTTGGAGCTTAACTGTAGATGCCATTTTATGCTATAAAAACGTCTTATGAATTGATAGAATGTCATGGTTTGGTTGTGTGCAAAGCATGTTCTTATCAGAGAGAGAGAGAGAGAGAGAGAGAGAGAGAGAGAGAGAGAGAGAGAGAGAGAGAGAGAGAGAGAGAGAGAGACAGGTGAATGGGGAGGGATGAGAAGCTTACTTGTGTGCCCTTCTTTCAGAAGTACCTTATGTTCCTTCCTAAGAGAGATAGATGGACCTTGGATTGTTTTTAAATAATTGAAGATGGAGGAATGATTCTTAAGTCCATAGGTAATCTGGGGGATTTCAATCTGCCATTTCTGGACATGGATTTGGGGGCTGCTCTGGAGTTCATGGATGGGGAAAAGCAAGCTCCAATTCAACCCTGCTAAGACTAAATGATTGCAGGTTCTGAGGACCTCCCACTGGATATTTTCCATCTTTTTTTTCTGAATGAGCTTGCATTCCCCCATAAAGAGTTGGTGCAAATTTGGCTTGACATTCCTGTTCAAAGAGAATGTTTGTGTAGGTTCACAATGTGCAACAATTGTACCCAGTGCTAAATTGGACGGCTTTTCTTAGGGCAGTGGTGGCGAACCTATGGCACGGGTGCCAGAGGCGGCACTCAGAGCCTCTCTGTGGGCACACGAGCCGTTGCCCCAGCCTTGCCTCCGCCCCGCGACCACCCCCTCACCAGCAGCCCCCTAGAGGAGAGTCACCCTTGAGTGTGGCCCATGCGGAGCAGCGCAGCCAAGGTCATGGCAGCCAGGCAGTGTAGACAAGACTCTGCCCTCATACCCCATCATGCACAGTTGATGCTGCAGGGTGTGGGCAGAGGGCATGGCTGCCATGGCACTGTTGGGCTGCCTGGGTGATCCGCGGCAGGCCCTGGAGGTGGTGAGTGGCCCTGTGGGCAGGCGGGGGGCAGGCAGGGGATAGAGCAGGGGCGGGGCCAGTTTTTGGGCACTGGTCTCTAAAAGGTTTGCCATCACTGTCTTAGGGTGACTCATGCCTTTAGTTACCTCCCGGCTGGATGGAAACTTTGGAATGTTTTGGAATAAGATGGACAGATTATTCTATCATCTCAAGAGCAACATAACACTATATTATTCCTTCTGGTCCAGAGAATCAGCAGTTTCCTATTTCGGTGTAATATATCAGAGTGTTATGCAAGGCAATGAAGTACATGCAATCAAGATGTCCCTTTTCTCTCTTACTTGCCCCCTTTTCCAGTCACTAGCTCTGAAGTGACTGTATAACTTCAAACAGTTCTGTAACTTCAAGCAGAGTAAGGATTGGTATCTCAATGTGCTTGTTTTCTTTTTATTTACTTTCCCTTTAATGTTATTTCAGTTGCATCCCCATTTAGATTCACAAACGTTTGTTTTCTTTGAGCAGAATGTAGAGGTACTGAGGACTACCTGTATTAAGTGCTTATAGTCTCTCCTTGCAAAAATCCATTCCCAAGCTTCAAGTATTTCAGAACCCCTGTTTTACTGAAAAGAGGAAATGTCATTCTTGCTCATTTGGCTTGAGAACTTCTTTCAAATTTCTTTGCTCCGAGAGATTGGAGATCTTAACACAGAGACTGACTGACATGTTGCTGCCATTATGTTTTTCTGGAGAAGAATGTAAGGTGGGTTTTTTTCATTATAAATGTGAGTTGCCAACTCATGGATAAAATTGTAAAACTCATAACTTCAACTATTCAACCATCTTAGAGAACCAACTCTAAACTTCTGCTACCATATATTTTTAAAGGAGTCTAATTAATAGACTTGGCAGAAAGAAG